AAGCAGCGGCAAAGGTTGAGTCGAAATTTCTTTTTCTCGAATAGAACCACATCCGTTTTAGAAAGCGAAAATATTTTCGGTGCCCGTGACCTTTGCTGCGCATCCACCAAAATTAAAAGGCTGTGCAGCCTTTTGCTGCAAATAGTGCGAGACTTTGGCTATTGCCACGCTCGTCAGCGAGCGACCGCGCGCGTGGCCGAGTGGTTACCGTGCTTGACTGTCGTGCGAAAAGTCTGGGTTTGATTCCAGTCAGTGGAATGTTCTTTTATTTGTTCTTTCATTGCATTCTCGTGAGTTCGAGAACATTCTCGTCAGATCGAGTTCTGAATGTTCCAGTCGCCGAACAATCTAGGCCGATTGTTCCAGAACCCAACGCGCGTACATAAGGGACTCCGCGTGCTGATCCGCAGTCAGTTTTCGCACAGCGTTCGACTCTGCTGCTACGCCGATTTCGACGCCCGCGACGCTCCGTTATTATCTTTTGTACCCTTTTGTTTTTTGGCACAAGTTCGCCACATTAAACGTTTATTTCTTTCTGTTTATTTATTGTTTATTGGTCACCACCCGTGACACTATTACCCTAGCGCCAAGTATGACCAACATAAAGCAGATATATAAAACAAATGCCACTTTGCGCCTGCATTTATTAACACCCTATATAGCTTGCTTACTACAACTTTTTTGTACAGATAAGGCAAGTGCACATACTAACGTTCCTGGAGTTATTCTTTGCGCACGCGTAATTTGCCAAGGGTCCATTTTACCCAATACAGTCCAGCCCGGTTGTATCACTCTGGTATTTTGAATTATTTTTATCAAATCGTCCAACATCCCCTTGAAAACCACATGTAATAGTATAGGAGCGTTGTCTTGTATCGACACTCGATATAGCGAACGCAGCCCGGCCGCCCGTTGTTTCCCGCGATCCGATTGCGCCGGTGGCGAGCACATCGCTTGCGTTGCGGGGCTGGCAGACCGCCAAGCCAGCATACATGCGGCAAGATAAGCAAAAAAAGAACAATTGTGAAAAAAAAAAGTGGAGGATGGCAAACGCAAGGGGAAGGGCACGCGCGCGTAGAGCAGGGGACTCGCATACCTCGGCAAACCTCACTCATGAGGGCCCTCACTCACCCTCACTCACCTTGATCTTCACAGGTGAGGTGAGGGTGAGTGAGTTTCTGAACCAGGAAAATTCATAAGTGTGAGGGTGAGTGAGGGCCGTGAGGGCCGTGGGGGCGGCGAGGGCCATGAGGGCGGTATGGGGTATGAGGGCCATGAGTGCGTGAGTGGTGTGAGGGCGGTGAGTGCGTGAGCGGTGTGAGGGCCATGAGTGGCGTGAGGGCAGCGAGTGGCATGAGGCGTGAGGGCGGTGAGTGCATGAGGTGTGTGAGGGCCATGAGTGCGTGAGGGCGGTGAGTGCGTGAGGCCTCCGTCAGATCGAGCATCTTTCTCCGCAATTTTGGTGTTAATGGCGGGTTGTTCTCCAGCTTTCCCTAGATCGACACGAATTGCTGAGATCGGGTCCGGCTCGAAATAAGCAAGCAACTCGGAGCAATTCGAATGCATTTGAAGCGGCTGCATCCAATCAGGGACGCAAAATTTTCACGTGATACCTCGTGCCGGTGATGAAGACACCGAAAGACTTGGTTCTGGTTTGAAATCGATCGTTTTTTGGAAATAAACTGTTTCAAAAGGTGCATTAGTATTCTTAACGATATTTAAATGCATAAAAACGTTTATGACGCGTAATTGTGTCTAAATAGTGCAAGAAAAATAAAATTTTATTATGACGATGGCAAATCGCAGCAATTGATTGCTGCGTGTGATCGCGGGCGGCCCGTGTTGCTGGTGTTGCGACGTAAAGTTTCTGGGCGAAATTGCCCCATCTGAAGCTGGCCCGAGTGGCGTGAGGGCCATCAGTGCGTGAGGGGTGTGAGGGCCGCAAGGGCGGTGAGGGCGGTGAGTGCAGGGCCGGGAAGGCGGTGAGTGGCGTGAGGGCGGTGAGGGCCGTGAGGGCGGTGAGGGCCGTGAGGGTGAGTGTGACTGTGAGGGTGAGTGAGGGGCTGAAGGTGAATTTTTTATACTTTTGATTTCGGGATCATGACTGATTTTAGTGCAGTCAGCGTCCCTGAATTGCAAGGTGTAATTTTTTTCTCGTTATTGTGCGCAGTTTTAAAGATATCGACGCCTCCAAGTTTTGTTTGGAGCGCGGCCAACAAAACCGAAACTAGCCGCTCGAGGCCCCGGCAACACTGGAAATCAGCCGCTATGTGAACGTGACGTCAGGATAGTTCTCGTTCAGCGAGTACGCAGGCCGAGCGGCACCTAGCTCTGTTGCGCTAGTCGTCTAAAGATAGGAGGTAAGCTGATTTTGTCTTAATTCTGTATACATGGTAATCATCCAACATATGTAGCAAGAGTTAGTGCGTGTACACCAAAGCTAGCGACTGGAAAACCCGTGAACTCGTTCGGTGCCGTACTCGGCGGCTGTCGCCGTGCGTGCGGTTTTCCACACTCGTCGCTGGGTCTAAACTGTCATCGGGGCTCCGTGGATGGAGCAGCGTTGCTCTACGCCGCGCTGCCAGGGACGTACAGTACAGGTGGCCCTCTCGCTTTCGCGCTGCGGGTCAGTCCCAGACACAAAACTTTGGGGCTCTCCGGTGTGGGCCGCGGCTTCCGAAGACACGTGTGCTGAGCTATACACGCCTGTTTTTTCGTGTTTTTTTTTCTTAGGCGCGTAAAAGCCAAGTTCAAAGTCCACTCGTCGAACAGCGTTCACCCACACCTTCTCTGGTTTCCGGTCCGTTGGAAACTTGTGAAAAAGCACCTCCGGGTTGCTCAGCGGGTTGTTCGAGCAGCCCACAGCGCTACAAGTTGCACTCGGCATCTTTCGAGGAACAGCTAGGCAGTCTTGGGCGCACCGAGTTGCTCACTAAAACGAGTCTAGGATTCCTCACAAGCAAATAAACAAAAGGCTACACCGAAGCTACACGGACTACAGATAAAAGCAACGGATAAACACGCCAATTACAAGCCGAAGTAGCGGTAATAGCGGCTCAGAGAAGCCCGCAACGCCCAGACCGGAGGGAAAAAAAAAAAGATAACGATACTGACGTCACGGCCCAATGTTGCTTTAGCGATCGGCAACCCGCTGGCCGCCCGCTAAGGAGCAGCGGCTCGCGGCGGGCCGCATTTTCATTATCGACATTGAGAGTGCGGGGTTTGGCTGGGGTCGTATTTTGTGTCTTACAGAGATACCAGTAATTTATTTCGTTTTAAGTTTTGGCCGAACGTTTTTTTTTTTTTTTTTACAAATCTTGTTTTTTCGTGTTAGTCGCTTATGCCGCGTGTAGGACTACGCCCGGCCAAGCGCGCGTGTAAGCGAGACGGTGTTAGCGGTCTCCGACAAATACGCTCTACTGTATTAAGCGGCTCTTGGATGCTCTCTTTGGTAAGCTCCCGTTTGTCGACACCTTCGGTATTAGCGGACGCCAGGAAATTTCAACTCGAGCTTATCGACATTTTTTTTTTTATATCAACTTATTGATATATCGTACTATTTGTGATCCCCTTTGAATTCGATATATCCGGGTACAACTGGACATATTTTCCAAAAGGGAAAAGATGCATCAGGTGCAAGTGCAGCAAAGTTGTCGCCCGAGAGGGTAGTTCAGAAACATCCCCTTCGTCGGCCGGGCAGCATGAAAATTCATACGTACCAGTTTGCACCGCGGGCAAAGTCACTCTTCCGGTTTTTTTTTCCATCCCTGAATTGGAGAAAAACTTCTATAGACGCTCTGCACACGCGCCAGATTACAGCCGCCATTTCTGACCTCCTCTCGTCTGCCCGAGATATCAAGCCACTGAAGCGGGCTTCGACGGGCATCCACAAGGGCCGATGCTGGGCAGGACTAGGGAGCCTTCATGTGCGCTTTGCTAGGGTGGTGCCACCCTTTGTAATACCACTCGCCGACAAACCAGCAGCCATTTTGGTCTCGGCGATAATCTGTGGGGCTTATAACCCTCCCGGAAACAAGCACCTTATCTCACAAGTCCGGAGCAGGGTTGTGGAACCCACGGAGGGAGGATTAGCATTTCCCCCCTCGGAAGGGAGGACCGATGGACACAAAGGCCACTTTCCGGCGCATGGGAAACAATGAGGAACAAAATGGCAGCGGGGGAAAGGGAAACAGGCAGTTGGCATCACTCTAAGCGAAGCGCACATGAAGGCACCCTAGGCAGGACAGCCTTAATCTAAAATGGCAATAACCTGCACTGCTGCGGCAATGATGGAGCGATGCGATCAAAGAGAAAATAAAAACTGAAAGTCGGTTATGGTGGTGCCCATGCAAAGCTGCTGCAAAGCGTCGATAGAAGGATGACGGTTACCGTAGTGCGCCACTGCAGACGACGTCCCCCCCCCCCCCCCCCACAATTTCAGACATTTGTCTGCTTCTTAAAGTGGTATTAGGTCTTCCAAAGCACCGGGAAAAGCGTGCCATCACATTAACGCAGGGTCCGTGGTACAGCTGTGTCTCGCGAGAAGAGACATGTTAAGCTCGAACGACACCTGACTGTTGCTTGTGCGACCTCCATGTTGGGGTGTCAAGTGACACCTCGACACCGCACGACACCCAAACTTGAGTCGCGCACATACTCGGCTCATTTACAACACTTTCTGTGCCTCTCCGAACGTGTAAAATATTTTCGAGGAACGCGAAATTTTTCTTTTTCGCCAAGTTCACCCAATTTTGATACGTTTCGGCTTTGCTACCCGACCAATCTGTCGACGGGTGCAGGTTCTTCCCACCCCTAACCAGAACCACTTACCAGCCGCCGGAACGTTTGCCCCACACCGCCGGCGGCATTCCGGCACACGCACGCAAAACCCTTCAACCGTAGTCCGCCCTCTACCGGTGGAAAGAGACATTTGTCTGGCAACTTAGGCGATTGGCAGTCTCAGGCCGAGGTTGGCAACAGATGGCGTCACTTCTCAAGCATTTTCCAGGTTCACATTTCTTTATTCATTTTTGTCACTTTCGAGAAAAAAAAAAAGTTTATGCACTCATCACAACCCTAACCACAAATTCGACACGAGAAAGAAAACTTTGGTCCGACGGCGGTCCACGGCTACAAATAATTTTTTAACTTTTTGAACAAATCGAAGAAAAACAAAGCTAATGAAGAGCGGTTTGTTGACAAGCTCCTTCCAAGCTATCCGAGCCACTGTACATGACGAGTTTTGCCGAAATTTCAGTTTTCGGCTTATCGAACCGTTACTGCAGATCAATAGCACGCAAGGTTAATCAACCAATTTACTTCCCCAAATGCAAAATTTCGCTCCCCAAAATGTGTTACTGCACCTTCCCTCACGGATCGTGCAAAAAAGGGGCGGACAAACTGCACAACTTAGTTCTGAAGAATTTTCCGAAACCAAAGAGTTCCTGGTCGAGCTCAAATTTCGAAACGTGGATTTTACACCCCACAGCTTCCTCGGGTGTACACGGTCATTTTGTGTCCGAAGAAACGTTACATTCCATTCTCGAATACGCACATTACGAGCTCAAATACATTGGCAAATCAACTTCTGGCTCGTTAGATGTCTATTTTGCTATTTACAAAACAAAACCCGCACATTCCACTCAAAATGGTCTCCGCCGGACCTTAGAGGGGAGAAAAAAAAAAAAAAAAAAGAACCACCGTATTTAAGCACGACAAGGCGACGATAAGATTGCGCTACGTCGCTCTAGGGTTAGGCCGAATGCCCCGAAGGGAGTCTTCGAGGGTGAGAAACGAGTTTAGCTCCGACGGCCCAATGGTAAACTAAAAGGAGACATTAAAATAATTTCTTGATTTCCACAGCCTCGTCCCCATGGGATGGGCACAAACGTGGCCGGGGAGAGCCGGGGGTACGGAACGGGACACGCACGAGCCTACACACGCATGCGGGGGGGCCGGACCCCCTTAAAACAAGGGACCCGACCCCCGCCCCTAAGCCAGACAGACACTTAAGCAAATAACTGAGGAGCCAACGTTCCCCAAACGGGAAACACGCTCGCCCGGTTCCTTCAGTCTCTTCTATGGGAGCTAAAAAAAAAAGGAAACAGTTAAAACATCAACAGTGAGCAGCATCTTCAGAAAAAGAAAAAAAGAACTCCAACGAAAACCCGTTGCCCAAACTGTTTCCCGATCTTGCGGTGCTCGCTAATTGAGGTTGCCCAACGCTCCAAACGCGGAGCCGTCGGCAGTCCGCGACGGGCCAAGAACGGAGCGGCAGCTCCGCCTCCGGCACAGGCTCGTTACCGTCCACTGGGATCTGGCTGCACACGCGACGAAGCGTTGTCGGACAGCTCGCGCCAGAAGTGGAACAACTGCTGCATTTCAAATCCGTCACCGAGCGTGCTCCTCGAGAGTCGCGCCGAGAAACGTCGTCCGGCGCAGCGGGCGTGCCTAGGGTACAGTTCTAACACGACGAGGCGACGCCGGGTCGCAGATGCGGCACGAACGTACACGGCGAAACCGTTACACAAAGAAAAAGAACCTTGGGCGATTGAATCCGAGCACCACGGTCCAAAGCTGCCGGCGACGCCGAAACCCCATCCCCCAAACGCGCCGAGAAACAATTTTTTTTTTTTTCGTAGTGGGGGGAAAGGAGGCAATTTTGGGTTTTTATGATACAGACAGCTAAGCTTACAGTCGAGACGAGCCGCCAACGGGCCGATCGACGCCCACCCCCCTAATCGTCAGTTCTTTTTTTCCCTTCCCCACGACAAACGGTTCGTCGGAGCACGGCACTCGTGGGGTGGCGGCGCCTGGAGCATCCTCCTCAGTTCTTGTACGCACTGCCCAGGCCGGCCGTGGGCATGAGGATGTTGCCCGGCGTCACATAGTCCCCGATCATCAGGCTGCTATTTACAGGGAACTGAGATGCGTTGCTCAGAAGGACTTGCTGCTGCAGAAACAGAGGACACGACCCTGAGTGCCCCGCATCCTCGACGAAGACCTCGATCGGTATTATTTGAGAGAGTGGGCATACGTACATAGGGTTCCTCGTTTTCGGGCTTTATATTTTTCGAAAATTCAGGGGCGAAAAACGGGTGCTATTTTTCAGGCAGATAATCGGGGAGAAATCGGGTCTTTCTCAAGCCATTAAGAAATCGAGTTTTCTCGGGTCTTATTTATGAAGAGCAAGTACCTGAAATGTGTTATTTACACAAAGAGAAGTCAACGAAGTATATGACATAGCGATGGTGCTCGATCTTGCAGTACATTTCTGCCTTCCGACTTATACTGCAGCGAATATATGCGGAGGTAAAGCAAATCGAACAGGTCTGTTACCATCAAACGAGTGACCGATGAAGCGGTTCTGAAACAGATCCAGAATTGTTCTCGTTTTCCATAATTTCAGCCGATTTAAAAACCGGTATTCGGGAAGAAATCGGGTTTAACCCGATTTTCATAAAAACTGTTTGGGGTGCAAACATCGGGTAATATCGAGTTTCACCCGAAAACGAAGAACCCTATACATATACCTTAAGCTCCGGACTATTTGTGTATAAAAGTTGAAGATCTATGCTGCACAAACCAGTTGTTTTTTTCTCGATCGTTGCTTATGATGAAAGGTGACAAATTTTACGAACAACGGGGCTTGGTGATAAGAACTTATGTACGCTGTGTCCCCTCAAAAATATTTACGGGGTTGTTGTCGCAGTAAAAATAAATGATGCATCGTCAAAGGCTCGGCGGTCGTTTAAACATAGCGCTTGCGGTCCAAACGAGGTGCGAATGTTTTGCAACTAATTATTTCATTATTTAAAAGCTAAGGGATTTTCCAAAAATTCTAACAGGAAAATGGGTTTTAGGCAACTAGAGTCACCTAGTTCCATGTATTCGAGGGTGAAAAAGTCACATAGCTTTTTAACAAGATAACAGCTTGTTATGAAACTTTGGCATCTAGTTCGGACCAGTTGTGTTACATTTAAGTGGAGAAGGAGCATTTGGCAAAATGTAACTTGTCATAAAAAAATTTTTAAAAAAGGAGGGGAGGGGACACAGTTTGTGTTATAGAAGCTTCTTTATGAGCTAGTAAAGCGGGCATTTGACAAGGTGCACTTTGTGGGAGAATTTTTTCCACGCAGAGTGTGTATCGGGTGCGGACTATAAAAGGAAGAACTTTTTATTTTCAACCTAATTAGCCCTTCCGGTCTATACACCGGGCACATACTCTAGTCCAGAAGATATGGGAAAGCAAATCAATCACCCCGACACGAACACTCTTAAAACTCTGGACTAGGGGGTTAACATGAAAGAAGGTACTGGCTGCTGCAAATATATTGGTGCCATTTATAGAAACAAAGTGGTCAGGCACTGCATTCCAGTTTCTTTATAGACCTTTTGCGAGATTACCCATGCACCGAGAGTAGTCACCGACGGGAAAAGAACAGCGGGGAGGTCTTCCAGTTGTCCTAGCTACAGCGAGAGCTTCCAACCCCGGAAGGACACAAAAGCGGCAGAAGGCTACAGGGTACGCCTGAAGGAAGCATTCCAAAGAAAGGCCCTCGACGACAACTAGAGCACGCTGCAAGTGTGCTGTGGTCGCACCTCCAGGCATCTGAGACAATAACTGCTCTAAAACAAAAATTAAAAAAAAAAAAATTCTGCAGGAACGTTGTCTACGCCTCATTCGGTCATTGACTTCGAATCTTCGACACAGATGAGACGAGCTCGTGCTCCCAGCAAGCTGCTTTCGGCACTTGGGTAACCTTGCGAAAAACCTAGTACCGCACCCTCCTGGTTTTTATTCTGCTTCGTGGCTTTTTCTCTGCAAACACGAGCCTAAAACTAATTGGTCGGCAGCATTTCGCAGAAAAAAAGGTCCACAATTTGCTCCGTGTGTCGAGGGTCTCTCAACTGTGCTTAGTTCTCGGCATATCCACGGCACTCACCTGATTGAATAAGGCTGGCGAGATGCCTCCACCAATGGAGCTTGTGGGCACGGACTGGGCTCGAGAGTTCACTGTCTTTGTCGAGTTTAGCGTACCGGGGCTTGGCAAGGACCCTGCAGAGGGCAAAAAACACAGCCGTCAGCCCCCAGCGGGCAACAATGCCCCACAAGCTGGGACTCGTCGCGATAAAGCAAACTACACCGACTTTACCAAACAAAAAAAGCAATTTAGTCGGAAGAACCGTCTCCCATGCAGGAGAACTCAATGATGCCGAGCTGGCAGAATTAAGAAAACACCGCAACCAGTCGTCCTCTTTAACCCTCTTAAGGGGAGACACTGCCCAGAAAAAAAAATTTCTGCAAAAAAAGTTGATTTTGAAAAATGGCATTTTTACATCCACCAACATCTAGAGAGTATTCCCAAAAAGTTTCATTAATTTTCACTGTATAGTTAATTTTTTATAAATTATTTTCTGTCCACCAAAGCTATAGAAAAGGTAGGGTTTGGAGCACTTTGAACACCTTTTTCTCCGTTCCACTTTTTGGTATAAATTCCATTTTAGTCAATCTATCGTTTGATAATGGCAAAACGAGGAAAGCTCATTCTTCCCTTTTCCTGACTGAAATTTAATAAGGAGTGCGGCTATGGAACTTTTTTGTCACTTTACGGATGTCTTTTGTAAAAAATGTTGGCATTTTGTCGAAGGCACAGAAGACAAAAAAGTTGACCAATTTTGCCGAAGAGAAAATTTATAAAAATGGATTACTTTTTAGAAAAAATGTTCCATAGCCGCACCCTCTAGGCATTCTGCTACATATCTAGCAAATAAATATCTTTAATATCGCAATAGTTTCCTGACGATAGATTAACTAAACAACACAGGCGTGTTGCTGATAAAAGTTACTCTTATTTCCTTCTCTTTTAACCGACAGACCTGAAATTCTGTTATACACCCACTAGCATGACCACCAGCCTACCCTGTAAATTTCATTAATTTTAAGACAAGGGTTCAAAAGTTGACCCCCCTAGGGGGTGTGCCCCCTTAACGATCGCCTCGAAAATTTCTCGCCTAAATGCCGCGAAACTGCATGCACCCTGGGAGGTGTTGCCGTCTATTGTGTCTTTGGGTAACTAGATTTGTTTTATTAACACCTCGTTTCATTGTGCTGGGGCCATTTCTAGTTCCTCAAAACTGAAATCGGAAGATGAGAACTAGCAATCCAAAGCGGAAATTCCGTAAAATACCTCTGGTTCAGAGTCTGAGACCGCCAGAATGTTCATTGGAAGTAAACATGTGAAACTAAAACTGAATGAAACAAAGGCGAAACTTCGCCCTCAATATTTCTCTTCGATGCCTTCTCAGTCTGGACAGCTTGCAAGCACTATAAATCCTCCCATTAAGGGTGCACGCGGGTCGTAAAAATGCGAAAAATTGCGGAAAAATCCTGTATTTGGGTGCCCTTACATATCCAAGCACCTCTCTCCAAAATATTATAGTGTAATTCAAGCTCAAAGTATAAAAAGAAACAATAATTATGTCGCGCGGAACGCGCCCAAAATCTCGCCGAAAGAGGAAACCGACGTCGAAACGCGCGCCCTTCGTGGCAAACGCCGAGATCTAGAAATTACTTAACGAACTCGGTATTCGACAACCGTCAAAACAAGGAAGTTACAATTCCGAATACATAAAGGCCGAGCAAGGCCGCTCGAAAGAGTGAGCTCGGGGTGCGAAGTCGACGTGCCACTGCGTAGTACCGTTTCTCGAAAAGTGCAACACTAGAAATATGTCGAAGGTTGGAGGCCGGCAGACATCAATGAACTTTTTCCCCAAAAATACTGTATCTTCGATAAACAAATATTCTTCACAGAGCACCCTACGGTGTTACTGAAAAGATAATTTGCGCTCGACATCCGGGAAAGAAAAAACCCCAGAAACCCTGCACTCAAAGGGTTAATGATCCACACATTAGAGAACACACGTACCTCACTGGAAGGCAGCCCCAGTGGTAAAGGCAGAATTCCCAAGCCGCACAAGCAGCTATTTCTCGAAGATTTAGGCGAAGCAGACGCAAGTCGACCGACGTAGCAGGTGTCCCACTTACCTAGGGAGACCACGTTTGAGAGGTGCACTCCAAGCGGCTGGTGCTGCGCCTGTGGCGCCACCTGGTGCATCTCCACCACGCCCGAGCCGTTCATCAGCGGGACCCCGTTCATCATGAGCTGGCCGCCAGCTCCGTTGTCCGCACCCACCGCTGTCCACGGGAGAGACCACCCGCCGTCAGTAACGCCGCCGCCGGAGAGACGTTGTCGCTCTCGACGTGCGCCCAAGACTTCCGTCGTGTAAATCCCGGAATTTTCTGGCATTATAAGGTGAGTATTTTCTGGCGTGAAAGTATGGAATATTTCGGCGGGCAAATCTGTACTTCTGTGGCGTACATGATGCTGGAATTTTTCGCATTACCATCGATGCAAGCGCCATTAAGCTTTTCGTAACGGGCTTTGTAGCAGGCAAAATGTTGATTTGGAGCAGCTGTTGGCCAATTTACAGCATGTGTCAACGTGCTGTAAATTAGCGCATCACTTAAAGTAGTTAGCGCATCACTTAAAAATTAAGCTGTGATTGCTTTGCTAAAAGTCAATCTCTCTGATAATCATGGAGGGTAAATTTTCTAATATTGAGGTGCATTAATACTTCTTCCCTTTTCTAATAAGCATAGGTAGAAATGGTCATAAATAGTATAAAATGGATGCGCATCATAAATAAGGCTCGTGTCAGAGTAGGCTCCATTCACGATGGGCATTAAGAAAAACACAAAAATGGTTGAAAAATCAATCTAAGCGAGACAATTTAGTTGAGATAAAAGTGCCAAGTGTCTCTCCCCACTCCTCCTTTTTGCAATCATAGCTTACGTGGCCTGTGAATATAATTTATGTAAAATTACGGCAAGTAGCATATCTGCCAAAATGTCAGTCGATGAAAATACGCTCTACCAAGTTTTATGAACCTATTGAACTCAAGATTCTAATATCATAAAGTGGCAAAGCCCTAAATATTATCAAAAATTATATTTGAGCTTTACAAGTGTCACTCCTCTAACACAACTACAATTGTACAATAATAGTCCCTTTTCCCCTGTTCCACATTCTGTATTCGAACAACAGCAAGCTAGTGTTATTGAAAAAATCTGAATATTTTTCTTAATAATCACGGTATGGAATTACCAGACTATCCCAGGTGTTCCATGACCCGATAGGCAAAACCTCCCTTAACTAACTACTAACTTAACTAATGTGCCTAGGACAATTCAAAATAGGGGGAAGGACTGCCAGGCTACTCATAAGCTCCAGTAGAATTCTGCTCATATCCAGCAGCATTTTGGGAATTTATCCCTCGTCGATACAGCGAAGAGTTCTTCAGAATGTTACGTCTTTCAGGCACATACATCATAAATGGCATTAATGGCCATCAAAAGCATTTATTAGAACCTACGAGTACGTGAAATTGCTACTTGAGAAAGGCTAGGAAGGAAGGAAATGTGGCAGTGACATTTTCGAAAACACAAGACGAGGCATCATTGTTCGCTACTCCCAATACAATCACCACGGGACAAGAGGCAAATTGCATCTCCTCAAACAGCCCGGCTCCCCTCGCGAGTCTTACGTCGCTGCAAGAGCAAAGCCAAGAGTCAAATCCTTACGTTCGTAGGCGTTAGGTTAAGGTTTAGTACCTACTGCTATAAGCATAGGCACCGTAGTCTGCTTCGCCACTAGGCCCGTACGGAGAATAGGTGTAGTAACCTGCAGAAGCCAAGCCAAGACAAGACGCTCACGTTTAGAGCCGGGGTACGTACCCTAAGGCCCAAAATAGTCATTACGCAGGACATAAAATTTATGTAGCAGACCCTAAGCGGCCGGATACGACCTCACACACTACGAGAAAACACGCTACAGACAAAAGATTTTGCATTTATCGCTAGTGACGTAGAGCAACTACCGCTCCTCAAAATGAATAAAGAACACAAAGCAAATATTAGAAGACCGCACGCGGCGCAATAAGGATAGGTCACTTTAGCCAAAACTACTCCGCAGATTTCAAACTTTTTCACTTCCGGGTATAAATGCGCAACTAAACACCTTAAAAACACATTCAAACTAAACACCGAAGAATGTAAGAGCACCTCCTCTATACAGTTGGTGCATGGTGGCAGAAGGGTGCCAATAGGCATATTTCCTTCCCCACGAAAAAATAAACGCGCGGGACGGGGCGCTGACCATGACGTCCTTCGCGGGTCGCTAGGAGGCCGGCCGCGAGCCCTGCCACATCCGAAAGGGCGGACCTAGGCCGCTTCCGGAGACCCACCGTTGGCGTCGAGGGCCGCCCAGTACGCCTCACTGGGGGAGGTCTCGTTGTAGCCGGGGGGCGGCTGCGGGGGCTGTCCCGTGTAGCGGAAGAAGGGGTTCTTGAGGTCCAGGCTGTTGCACGCCCGGGCCCCTCCCTCCAGCTCCAGCTCCAGGTCCACGTCGTAGCTCTGGCGCCGGTTCGAGCGCAGCACCACCCGGCCCCCCAGGGTCTGGCCCCGCTGCACAAACAGCGGGCTCTCCAGTAGGCAGCGCACCTGGTACCAGTGGGTCAGCGGCTGCGTCGGCGACGTCGACAGCCACACTGTTTGCCTGCACCCCGCAGCAGAGCCACCTTTATCAGCTCCGGCTTCGAGCACGCCCCAATTTACAAGCTTCAGCCTTTTATACCGGGTCTGGGAACCACAAACATGCCTCTTTGGAGCAGTAAAAGTAAATCTTGGAGCTGGTCACCCAGGTCAAACTGGGGGCTATAAGTGCAGATATGTTCCAAAATCATTTGCAAATGTACCCTTTGCTTAAATATAATCCAGACTATAGAATCAAAAGCAAACAGCATAATTGCAATTTATCTGAATGGCAGCTATTGATAACTGTTCTGGTGATGGGCTGGTTCTTCTGTATTTTCAATAGAAGGCATAGTCAACACAAGAAACATAAATTAAGCCTCATGACAACACAATTTGTGTATTTAACAACTTAAATCACAAGTTCCATAAGTCTAATCAAAACAAAAACATTCCAAGATGCAATAGTATGCTATAAAATAAAGCCCAATGCTTACTGCCTACAGTTTTTATTATTAGGAAATACAAATGTTCCAAGTTCCCATTTAGCAAACATAAATGTATTCCAATACACAAGTTAAAAGATTTACTCTATTTGAAAAAAGTACAAATGCAAAATATTTAAAACTTTATGATATAATCCCTGCTCAGAGCTTGTTTAGGGGTTTGATAAAAACAAAGTTACTGACAAAGCTAGCAAGTAAGACCATAAAACAGAATGTTTTCCCGTCAAGTCAATTGCTTGGATGCGTTCCAGCACAACAGTTCAGAGTTTGGGTCGCTCAGCAGGGCATTCTCATCGTTCTCCTTGTCCTCCCACCGGCTCGCCGTTACACAGCACGTTTATGTGCCTCATACCTCATTTATAAGAAAGCTTAATATGAGACAGCCAATTATCACTTTTGTTGTTATGTTTAGTATGACACGAATAAAGGCGCGGAAGCAATCTAAGCGAAAGCAAACACCCTAAATACGCAAAAAAAAAAAAAGCTAAATGTTTGTTTTGCTTTTTCTTTCGCATGCAGGTACTTCGACTTTGGGGTCGCGGAAATCGAAGAGGAAACACGTAAAAAAAGAAGTGTCTTTCCCTTCTTTGTTTTACTCTGAATGACTCTGAATACTGCGGTAGTTATTTATGCACTCATACTACATGAACCTTGTTTGTCTTAACAAAATGCTTAGGTTGCTTCTAAACTCGTGAAGGAAGAATCATTCTCTGCAGAGTTTTAGAATTCAATAGCCCCCTACATAAAGAAAAACGTGCCCACTAAATTTATTGGGCAAAGATGTGCTTCATTCGTGATGCCAGATATCTTTGCAGGCACCCCCTCCCAAAAGCTACAGCAGTGGACCTTTTTCTAGTACGCCTCTGCAGGTGCGTACAGCCTCTCCCCTGAGCCTTGCGGTTGCCATTTCCGGAGGGCACCGTCTCACAAGGACAACATTGTCAGCACCTACTCCTGCACGTGTCTTCTTCTACAATGTTTTTTGAGCATCGGGAGTACGGAGCATAAAAAGCAATAAAAATCGATACAATGGCACCCCCAGAGGATGCTTCTTGCTCGAAAAGGCTCATTTGGACGAGGCGTGAACGTGGGGGCAAGCTGTGCCCCAACTTGGCCCGTAGAGGAGGGCCACTCACACAGATCCGACGAAGGCGACGTCGAACCAGAAGGCGAGCCCATGCAGCTCCCCGGACTGGAGCAGGGTGAAGTGCAGAGGGATCTTGATGCAGTGCAGGTCCGACTCCGTCGAGCTCTCGAAGTCCACCGTGTGGCGTAGCGACTTGGCCATGCAGATGCGCACGTCAAATGTGTCCTGCACGCAAGGATGTCCGTCAACGTGGGGTTCTCAGGGGGCGAGGGAGCCCTCGTCACGCAGAAAATCATGTTACCGTGCAATCCACTCTTAAATATACAGTGTAGACCGCATATAACGTATGTCGCGGGAGTCGCGAAAATCCGCACTATAAGCGGTACCGCACTATAACCAAAACATCAATTTTTCAGGTCAAAATACATGCCATCAGACAACTTACCTTTGTAAAAGAATTTATTTTATGTTAGATGAAAAATAAAGCTTAGTTTGGGGAAAGTCTTTATTTCACCAGACTAGTACACTTCTCTCTCAAGTGTGTCACACATTTTGAAACAAATGAGTGGCTTTTGCCTGGCGCAGCCTCTTAGCGGCGTCGCGGGTTGCGGACGGATGTTGCGAGCGTTCAGGATTGCTAACCCTAATCACTTTTCTCCGGAGATGAAAACGCGTGAAAATTCGCATCCTTCATACGGTACGCGCCAGTAATACCTTGCACTTGAGCACATGCATGAAATGCGCCAAAAAAGAAATCCGGGCGATGTTCGAGGACACAAATGCTTAGAAATCACCACTGTAGTCGAAGTAAACAAACACGACGACACGGGCGTTTCTGCCGACTTGAGAGCGCCGCCAGGACATCGCCGCTCGAGTAGGTGGATCTTAATTCTCTTCTAATACGTGCCGGGTTATCCTAGCGACACACGACGAAAATTCACAGTCAAGGATAGCGCTTTTACGCGGAACGATGAGATGAACGCCGTCTACGACGACGATCACAACGTTGATCACAACCGACGCCTTGTTCGCGAATAGAAGCAGCCGGCCTGCGACGGGCATGCAACGCGCGCGAACACTTCTCCTGTCGTTGCGGTTGTTGGTTTCCAACGCAGTGGAGGGACGCACGCACGTGAACGACACGTGCGTGCATCCCTCCGTCGCTAGGGCAACTGAAGCCTCTCTCTTCGCTTCTCCCGCTTCTTCGAGCACCCTCCTTGCCCCGCGAGTGCCGCTTGCGCAACGCTTGCGGCTCGCGCCGTCAGCACCGTTATCTAGTGTCGCACAGTGGCGGTTTAAACCGGTGGTTTAAAAAAACCGCGTTATACCCGGTCCTGCACTATAAGCGGTTACGTTGTAAGTGGTCTACACTGTAATGAGAAAACCCAAAATTTCAATTGTTATAACAGATTATTGTTGTATCTGAACTTGGAACTCTAGAAACTGGTCGTTATAAACGGCACATCATCAAATGTGGTATCTTTACGAGTAGACTGCACTGAACACGCTTTTCGAAATTCTATTTTACGACTTTGCTTGCAATCATCATCTCTGTGTATGGCATCTCCACCAAACGAATGGCGGCCTTTTTGATGCTGATCAAGGGAGAAGTTGAAGGCACTACCGAGTGAAAAACATGCGAGGCTCGTGCGTTCGAGTCGTCAGTACAACACGACAAATTAGATGCAAAGGCTGCGCGAGCATTTATTCCGAAGTGCAGTCCAATCAATCTCTTGGCACAAGCTTGTGTCTAAAGCCTTTCGATGGCGGAAATATATTCAAGGGGCTTATGGGTCGCTGCTCTGTGCTGCTCAGTCCCCTATGTTTGCATCATCGAAACCGAAACAAACTGAGAAAAAATTATGAGGCAATTAAAGAGCCTATTCTCGTCTGCTATCGATGTGAGATTGCACTGATTTTTAAAAAGAGCTGAAGAGACTGCTTCACGAATTAGCATACGAGTGTGACACGACGAGAGGAAACACTGGCACGCCATCTGTTGGCTAGCCCTGGAAATCCTTCCACCTGCATATGACTACACTTAAGGTTTTGCGGTACTTGCGAGAGCTTATGTATGCCTTATGTGTTAGAAATGATCACATATAACTAGGGTTTCGTGTTTTCGAATAGATCCGATAATATCCGAAAAGCACTTGCCGGTAAACTTTTCCTGAATTCCGACTTATCCAAAAAAACTCGAAATTTCAATGTCACGATGGGAGAAAAAAGATATATTCTACAAATAAGCTTGGTCAGGGTGATCGGTCCCGAGGAGAGGCTTCTATAATTTCCTTTCAAATCTCAGTACTATAGTGATCAAAGTGGGATTCGTCGTTTCTCTTGCCGAGTTATCTTCAGGACAAATGGTTATTGTAATATAGGGTCGCGACAGGTTCAAGTTTCGAATTTGGAATTCTTAAAGGGAGGCGGGGTTATGCTTGTTGTAACAGGCAAAGCCATGATCATAGGAGGGAAGGGAACAGTTAAAGGTTCTATCTCACTGGACTGCTCCACCCAGCACAGCTGCAAGGTGAAGCGGTGCAATGGGACGGGAAGAGATTTCCAGAGACTATGTCAACGATATCAGCGATTTCAAAGTATCAACTTTAATTAAAGCAACATTCATTTGCAAGTTTTGTTGCAGGACAGTTAATACCAATGGCAAGGGCGCCATGCCCAATCTAGCTGGAGAAATATCATTCGACACAGGCAAGTTCTTATTAATTGAGGGCATGTTGGTGTCCGGAAAATGTTAGTTTTTATATTGAACTTTGAAACACTGGGCACAGAGAGAAGTATAAACTCAGAATTTCTGAGAATCGGGAATCTATCATATATATATACTCCAATAAAATCCGAATTTTCAGCAAACACACAAACAAGCAAAGAAGGAGTATGCAAACGAGTCAACCCAAATGGACGGCACGAGAAGTCGACCCACCACAATTGGTTGCCTGAAGTACTCCTTCACTGCGGCGTCCCTCAAGCTCGAAAGGTCCACACCATGGAAAGACTGCTGGTACCTGGAATTTGAAAAAAAAAAAAGTGCGCAGGGACATTATGGGAGTCGAAACAGTGCCCGATAAAATGTTCAAATAGCTTGTCTTCCATAACCTTATTCTGAAATGCCTTCTTTTTCACCATGTTTACCCCAACAGCTTAGCAGGATTTCACGGAACGGAGCACCTTACGAAAATGAACAATAGCAATTATACGATGACAGCCTGTAGACTGGAATAAATTTTCATACTTTTGGTGCCCCTCAAAATCCGTATAAAGAGGCTTCTGTCAAAATTCATCTAGCGCGCCGTGATCTCTAGCCTGTCACTCAGCAAGACCTCTTTTGTGGCTTTAGTGTACTGAAGTGTTGTGCACGAATGCGCGGGAAGAAACTGCCAAGGACATCAACAAACACCTCTCCGCAAGCCCAGGACTCTGTCGCTCGCCTGTGTTTGTCACCCAAAGCGCCAGGTGGAAATTAACACCTTTTTCTCACATATTAGAGTTCACACCAACGAATGTTTACAAACTTTTTCTGAGCATATTTGAAATTTTACCTACGAATGTTAGCATTTAAATTGTTTCGTGACAATTCATATCTGTCTCATATCTAGCAGCCCCCAAAAGGTGTTCTCGTTTCTTACGTTTTCCTTGATTATATGTTTTATTTCCCCGGTCACCTGAAAAATGCATCACTGAGGTTTCACTGTACTTTTCACCAAGAAAATTCGTAACACTGCTCATTTTTGCTCTGTGGAGTTGTGCAATCGTTTCATGAAAGAGGAATTTATTGTAGCAGTTAGAGAAACACATTGTACAGTAACGAACGTCATTTAAACAAACTATTCAGTTTTACGTACTTTTTTAAATCCCCCACCGAAGCGCCATTGAACCCAATGCAAACGCCCTTCAGTTTAACGAAATTCAGCGCAATGCGCATTTCAGTTCTACAAACCTACTCCACGGCACCATCCTATATCTTCCGGGTCATATTGATCACTCCAAGAAGTACAACCCACACTTTTTGTTGCATATTTTCACGTTGAGAAGCGCGCAACGTATAATTTGCCGCCATTTTAGCTTTGAACTGGATTGGCTAGCTAGATAAGCTCGCAGCCAGCCGAAACCATAGCTAGCTTTGCGTGTTTAGCTGGCTTCACAGCCATAGCCATAGCCGCAGCTTCAGCCACCAAGAAAAGGCGATCGCGTGCTGGTTAATCAAGAGTGCCAAGCGAAAGCGCCCGTCTCTAGACAAAAAACGGGATATTTTGCGAAGGCTGGACTCCGGGCAGCATCAAGTCGACGTTGCGAAAGCATTTGGGATCCCAGCATCGTCATTGTCTACGATTAAGAGCCTACGCCAAGCAATCGCAGCCGCATCGGAAAGTGCGCAGCTCGGCCCCGCGCGCAAAAGACTGTGCACTGGGTACTTCAGTAAAGTCAACGACGCTATTGCCACATGGCTAAATGATCTACGAGCCAGGAACATTCCGGATTCAGGAAGCATGATTCAAGAGAAAGCCGTGGAATTCGCAGCACTTTTCGACGTCACCGGTTTTGACGCAACCAGTGGATGGTTGCATCGCTTTCGGGCACGCTACAGCATCGCATGGAAACAGGTCTGCGGTGAAGCAAGCAGCGCGGACACCGCTGCGGATAGCACGTGGCAAGAAGAGAAATTGCCCGACGTCATGAGCGACTACAGCCCGGACGATGTATACAACGCGGACGAGACCGGTGTATTTTACCAACTGCTCCCGAACAAAACCATGTGCTATAAAGATGACACATGCAAAGGTGGAAAGCACTCCAAGGTGAAGATCACAGCATTGTTTTGCTATAACGCATCGGGCACGCATAAGATGAAACCTTTGATCATCGGTCGCTACGCCCGCCCAAGGTGCTTTAAAGGGCTTGCATCGCTCCCATGTGATTACACCCATAATTCAAAGGCCTGGATGTCGCGTGAACTGTTTACAAAGTGGATCGTAGGCGTGAACAGTGAGATGGCTAACAAGAATCGCAAGATTTTGTTAATTTTGGACAATTGCTCGGCCCACTTAGTCGACACACGCCTCAGCAACATCAGAGTTGAGTTTCTCCCGCCCAACTGCACGTCAATCTTACAGCCTCTTGATCTCGGTATCATCAAAAATGTAAAGGTGCACTACAGGAAGCGGCTTGTGCAGCGCATCCTGATAAATCTGAGAATGAAGAAGCCTGACCCAATTAATGTGAGACAGGCAGCTGAAATGCTCACAGGCGCTTGGTGGACTGTGAAGCCAGCAACAATAGTGAACCGCTGGCAAAAAGCAGGTCTAAGCGCTGCAAACTGGACCACCGTGGATGCTAATCTCGAAGAGGAGGAACGAGACACTGATGGAAAGAGCTCCGAACCCGGTGGCTGGAAGGAATTGTCGGAAAGACGGGGCGCAGACAGCCCTTTGCCTTTTGAGGACTATGCCACCTCCGACTCCCAGATTGAGACATGTGCCACGCTGACTACTGAAGAGATTGTAGCGAGCGCACTACCTCAGGAAGAAGAAGAGGAAGAAGAATCAGCCCTCGAAGAGGAAGCAGCAAAAAATTCAGCTAAAGAAGCACAGATGTGCTTGGAGAAACTGAAGGCCTTTGCTGCCCAGCAGACAGCTGTGCCGAAGAAGGTTCACGAGAGCTTGGATACAGTGACTCAATTCACGACCAGTGCAGTCCTAGACGCACAAGTGCAGCAAAAGATTACTGCATTCTACACAAAGTGCTAAGTGACGGAAATACACTTGCAAATGAGCAGAGTGACAAATAAATGGGTTGAAATATCATTTGAACACTCGATTTTTCCTTTAGTTTGTGATAACAAGCTGTAACATACTTATTTCAGTTGAGTGAACTTTCACTTTAACAAACTTTTTCCTGAGGTCCCTTGAAGTTTGTTCAAGTGAAGTTTCACTGTAGTAAAACAATATTTCCCCAGCTGCGAGCGAAGTTTTGGTCAAACACCTCGCTTTTCCCTACATAAAACTAGGAACAAAGACCTAAACACCTCATTTCACAAGCAGAATAAAATTCCCTAGTTATTCTGGTCCTCCCTGTTTTTTCTAGAAAGTTGGAACACTAGCCCAATTGGGATATCTTTGTATTACATCCAGGCAAGTAAAAAAAAAAAAACAATTTTTTTTTTGTCTACTTTTGGCGACCTCAGAAACAGGGTCACTCAAAGCCTAATACAGTCGCCGACCCATTTTTCAGACATGTCCGATTATTCAGACGTTTTAGCCGAACCGTCGCACACCCCATAGAGTTAATGTATAACATTGACCAAAATTTCAGACGCAATAAAGCTTATTGCTCGATATTTCTGACATAATTTGCAAGATTTCCTCAGTTTACGATCACAAAACAGCTGCCGCAATAGCGCCGCAAGCTTAGTCGCCACCATTTGGGTTGTTTTGATTTTGTCCTGTAGTCGCGATACCACGTCCTACACAATAAACAAAGTAGGTTGAGGCTATAGTCAGGTTTTCCATTCGCTATAGTCAACATAGCCGCCGTCTACCCATTCTTTTGGTTCTTTCCCTTCTTCTTGTGGTCCGTGTTTTTGAGTGACACAGTGAGAAGAGCAGCACTCCGCCATTCTTGTGGTGTTTGAGCACGAAGGTTTTTTGCCGATAGGCTTACTATTGAAGCAAGCATGGTGGACTAAACGCTGTCTTCAAATACTGTCGAGACCGGTTATAACAAAGTCAACGGGAATTGGAAATCACTTCGTTGTATCCGCTATTCTGTTAAAACCGACTTCATTTATGACGAGGTGCAAAAGGGAATGGGAAATTGTGATCGCTTCGCTGTAGCCGCTGTTTCGTTATAACCGACTTCGTTATAACCGGTCTCAACAGTAGTGCCGAATGGCGCCAACTTCAACTTCGCTGTCTGAACCAACGAAGGCGCCAACAAAGTGCAGCACCATGACCATACAGTTCAACGAACAAGTAAAAAGTGAACAATATAAAGTGGAAGTTGCAAGAGAACTTAAAATTGACATCAGACAAGTGGAAAGTGACCAAAACACAGCGCAATATGCGCAGAAATTTTATGTTTTGGCTGAAATCGAGTTTTCAGACCGCTTGATCATTTGGACAATTTCGGGGTCCCCTCAGAGTCCGAAAAATCAGTCGGCGAATGTTAGCCATGCATTTCCCTTCCGTCTCGACCTCAACAAAAAAAGGTCCTATAATAGATAGAATTTTCCTTTATAGCCAGTTCCCGTTAACTCGGAGACTGCCAAACACATGGTTCTTCTTTCCAACAGTTCTGAGAATTTTGGCGATCCTTACATCCGGTATGTGGGTGACAGTCAAATATCTTTGGCGCGATCGGCCGTTTAAATGCTCAAGCTTAAAAAGGCTTAAACTACACCACAAGGTGCATCTGACGCAAACGCCTGGACATATCAGGCACGCACCATCGAAACATACGTGGGAGAAAGGCTCGCAGTCGTTTTGTGTCCATTTTGTCTACACCCCCTTTCGGTCCAACACAAAGCGACGCAACTACACCGGCAGACTGCGAGGTACCGTTAGGCACATGCAAACCACAGACTCGGGCGTACACCTCGACACAACCGTGCACAAGTCGGCCATCCAAAGTCGTTGCAAACCGACCAAAAAGCCAAAAACGGGAAAAGCACCCTCAGAAGTGGCTGCAACTGCTTCTCCGACTCGCGTTGCGGCGTCTCGACGCCAGCGAGACGTCGTCCGCTCATCGCAAACGTGCCACAATGTTTCAGGAGCAAACGCTCGGTTTTGGCAGACGGCCCAAACCGGAGCGTACGCACGTGCTTACCGTGTCCCCCCATCCACCAAGTGAAGCAACGCGTCCACGTCAAAATAATGTGCCAACCAGTCGTGAGCGGAGGACCCAGTTGACGTTGAGAATGGCGACAACGCCCCTCCCGAGAACAGCGCGAGCGACGGCGGATGCCCTTGCGAACTCTCACCAGAAGTTGGCCTTGTTGAGCTGCTCCATGTACAGGCAGGTGTCCGAGAAAGGGGCAATGTGCAGGTCCCCCCTCGTCGGGAACATCTTGCCTGAAACATCGGGAGAAACACGACGTCAGCGTGCAAACGCACTTGCGCGGTGCTTTGGGCTTTACCGTTTTGTCTTGAGAAAGTCGTTGAAGCTACACTCATGCAGTCTGTCCAGACAAGTTATACGGCCGTCGAAGTAATGTAGGGTGATAGTCATGGCAATAAACTTTTCAATTACAAAAGTTAAACGCGTGGTTTCAACTATAAACTTGCTAAGCATTGTCGATAATTACTTAATCGATAAATTGCACTTAAGTTACCACCTGTGCAACAGGCAGGAGGCTAGTGGTGCGGAAACGCGCAAGTGCAGTTTTTGCATCTCTTGTCATCCGCTCTTCTGCGCCGCCAAAATTGCTCCTGGTGTAGGAGTGCTAAATTTAGCCCACCACTGCACTCCCACGCGCCCTTTCTAAAGTTTACTTATTTTGACATCGTCGTCTCTCATTAAAACCGCATTCATTTTCACTAAATAAAAAAGTTAATCGAGAGATTTTAAAGAATTATCCAATTTATCGTAATGCTTAGCCCCTATATTATGTCCTCCCGGCTGTATAACTCACCTACATAGACAAAATTAGCGTAGATTTTGCGGCTTCTAAAAAAAAAAAATTAATTTGTAAAGCTTAAGAAAAACCTCGTGTTTAGCAAGTACAATAAGTGACAAACAATGAAATGTCATCTATCACGCACACAGTGGAGCCCCAACAATGCGACGTCCCACACTTTATACAACCACTGGGTGCAGCCCTGGCGAATTCCCCATACAAGCGATGCATAGCAAGTTTGAACTTCAAGACACGCAATAAGGATTTAGCGTCGTACGACGAACCCGGTGCATCACATTGCAAGGAAGAACTGACAAAGCAGCGAAACGAAACTGCGTTGGCGATTGTTTCGTCGTTCGTCATTCAATCTCCTTCACCCTTTCACCTCTTTTTAGTGGCGGTTTTCACTCTCTCTTTCTTAGTTTGACAATGTGCACTGCGAGGTGGTGTTGGCTGCAATGCGATTGCAATGTGCTTTTGAGAACAGATAAAGGCAGTGGGACTCGGCATATTCTTCGCTTACGATTTCTGCGTGCTCCTCGGTACCCATGCTCTTGAATGACAACATGCCGTCATTCAAGAACACGAGTGAAAAGCATCCGTCGGACAAATGCCACAAATGAACGCCACTGATGTACAGAGAACAGGCGCAACCATGATCTCAGCAGTCCTTAGGACTCATTACAACTTGTAGACCACGCGACGCACTGTCGCTCGCCGAAATTGTCAAAAAGGCAACTACAGTTGCTGACCGATGTTTTGGATTATGCAGGGACCGAAAGAATGTTTGAATAGAGGTGTCCAAAAAATCGGCAGATTAAAAAACTTGCCTTTGTTACGTCTCAGCGGGCTTAAAAAAAGTCATCAACAGTGCTTGCGTTCGGCCACTTTCAATTAGCTTGAGAATCGCTGCCTCCTTTTCTAGCATTATAGTCTAGTACTCTCCGCGCTTCTTAGCAACAGATGGGGCCATGACATCCAAGCCAGCGTAGTCCAAAAACACAATTCACCAAGACCAGGTAAGCGGTGCAAGTCCACGACTGCGCAATGGCGAATGAACAAAGTGAAATGGTAGCAATAACGATGATAGTTGCAGCATAGCGTCACCTAGCGGTACTCAAGTAGCACTGCCAAACCAAGCCAATTCATGTGCAGCTAACATAGTCTAAAATGGCCGCTTCTCGGTGGTGTCTCCCACCAATCGCTCACGACGATTTTGTCCGAAAAATCACACTTTCGGAGTTCATGCTGGCTGAAACATTGGTCGTAAATATGCGCCATTTCTATCGGGTAGATCACGGTTCCTCCTTTACGGCCGGAAAATCGAATGAGCCCGAATTATCGGCATCCGAAAAATCGGATACCCGATGCTGCGACACTTTGGACGAAGGTGGCAGTGTCGCAAATGCCAAACTGAGCGTGCCCGTGTTGGCGGAAGTGTCACATTTCGACGGCATTCGACGGTCTGCATACGCCCATAATGACGTCATTCCCTCGCTTCTAGAGGTTCTGGCCCTAAAAAGAAAATTACTAATCGCTCGAGAATGAAGTAAGGTGAAAATAAATTATTGTCACCCTGTGCGTGCGGCGCACTTTGGTTTTTGTTTTTACACACTTTAGGGCTTTACCCTTTTCAAACCCGTCAAATTATTAGCGCAGAGGGAATTTTAAAATTTTGCACATTTTACAGTGGAGCTATTAAGGGCTAAGTTCCCCAGGATCGTGTCTGTGTATGTCGCCACAAACCTACCTGGACAGCTACCACCATCTATAAGCGACTGCGGCAAGCACACAACCAGTATGGTTTCCGCCGTCGCTCGTAGATGGCGGCAACCTTTCCAGCTATCATAGAAGAATGGATAGTTGGGCGCGTTGGTGGGAATTCATCGTAGGAAACAGCGCCAAAAACAGACGACGAAGAAGAAGCACACAGTGTATCGAGTACAGCTCCGCTAGTCTTCCTTCTTCACGAGAGTGGAAAGGCTGACCAATTTTCGTTCTGTGGGACTGAACGCCAAAGTCGTAATCGCCGTTTTTCAGGCTATACACCATTTTTGCGCAGTCCCCTCAAAGTCATATTGTCGCGGATAAAAATGAATCGACGTAAAACTGAAAGGAACGTTTCATTAGGCGAATTTGGGCCTAAAATAAACAACCAAAAAGGGTAGACAAAGATAATTATGAGGCGTCGCGGGCGTCGGAGTCGGCGGAAATACAGTCGAGCGCTGGCGGAAGAGTGCGTCCTCGTCAGGGGAGTGAGTTGGCCCGGTAACTGTCAGCTCCTTATCTAGTGCACTCAGCATCTCGAATATGTGACCTAGAATGTTCCGGGGCAAGCTAGGGCGAGACTGACTAGGCAACACCATTCTGGTCTCCTTATCTTTTAAGCACGGGGCAAGAGTAGACACGAATCGTCTAGATGTACGGAGATGCTTTCCTTCTGGATAATGCACGCAACAGTACAATCACAGTTCCTGCAATGCATTTTCTGGTACACAGTCGAATTCCGGTACAACGAAGTTGACGGGACGCAAAAAAAAGTCAGTTGTCACAAGAACTTAGTTGTCGTGAAATCGACATGAAATCAGCATTTGACAGGGTCCCTCATCGACGTCTTATACTAAACTTAACGAATTTCAATTCGAGCCTGCTATCGTAAGATGGATATGAGAAATTGTTTACTAACCGCACTCAGCACACCAGCATTAATAATTCTAAATCCCCCTTGTGCGCGGTAACCTCGGATGCCCCTTGGAGCCAGTGTACTCCGGCCCTTACTCTCTCTAATTGATATTAATGACGTTCATGAGAACATCTCGTCATCAGTTTGTTTGTTTGCAGACGTTACAGACCCATTCTCTCGCCCAACGATCACTGTACCTTGCAAACAGATACAGTCGACTCTCATTAAAGGGACCATGAAATGATTTTAAAATCGAGTTTCATCCACCGCACGTCGTAAAAGGTCTGAAGAGAAACACAAAAACACAAAAATAGGGAGCCAAAAAAAATTATTTGCTATAGAACTTTTAAAAGAAAACTGGACTCTTTTGCGCCTTCCTTCCTTCGCCTGTTCACTACGATGCATCCGCGGAAATGGAGCACGTCAGCCAAATCCAGGTCGCCTATTGGGTAAGAGCCTACCTCACCAGCACCGCGATCGTAAACAATAAATAGCCGGCGAATGTTTCCTAAAAGTTTCGTTAAATAATATTCAGATCCACATTTTGTAGCATAATTAGAGATGTGTGGCGAAAATTGCCAAATTTGATAATGCTGAGAGCCAAGCGCCATCTATCGTGTGGTAAACGAAGCAACTACTGCGCGTGCGCAGTAGGGCAGGGCCGACAGTTACTTGGGTGGCGGCGACCGTCGAAGGTTGATTTTCTTTGTTTTCCTTCCTCTCAAAACTCTGACTGACTGAACGTTTATTTTTCTACGTGTTCTTCCCGCGCGTGCCGACTTCAAGCAGCAAGAAAACAGTACTTAAAACAGACCACGACGAACAAGAACGCTGGATCCACCGACTCCGACGAAGCGAGCTGCTCAGAATTAAGGCCTAGCAGGCATTCCGACTCGGCGCTGCGTTGCTTCGTCGCAAGACCGTCTGCCTACGACCGGCTGGCGTGCTAAATGGAATATGCCCGCGCGACCCTTGTGGACCCTTCCCGTATTATAGTTTGATCACTGACCTCAATTCTAGATTAAGAGGTGAGGTCAATCTCTTCCCCTTGTTTCCCGAGGCAGTGTTGACGAACACTCGTCGATTCTATCTTCTTGTTTTGTGTGATATAGAGCTGAAATAAACGCCGTATGGATTACCTTCGTAACACGGTATGTACACTTTGTTGTTGGTATGCCATTTTTATTCTGACAGACTGCACGTCACTGTCGAGCTATAACAGTTCGTGGGAGGTATACGTACAACCCCGGTCCAACCTTTCTTTGCCGAGTGTCGCGTCAGTATCGAGTTGCAATCGTAAAAGAACGGTCCCGAAGAAGCGCTTACAAACAGCGCGAATACAGCACTTCCATCAAGCGCGCGCGTCCGCTCCGAGTGTAAACAGGTATTTACGTGGCCCTTGCTGACACTCGTAGTTCAAACATATCTTTTTTAACGTCGGCTCGCTCCTGCATCTCCGAGGCCGCGAAAAACGTCATCTACGTCGCTTTGCAAACGACTGACACGGGCCGGCCCTTCTGCCAACAAATGACAGGGTGGTTGACTTCTGGAGCCGCTGCACTTCCCAACAGGCATACCGGCGTATGGGACTAGTCCCATGCTGTCGCTGTAGCGCAACATATCTCATTGAATTTCGCTCAGCTGCGATGCGGCGATGAGAGGCGCCGATTCAGGAAATACGTCGGTGACATCAGCGCAGTAAAACCTACCGGCGCGCCCCAACTCATTGCCGCTAACACTCCCATTCTCCTACTGCCGAGAGAACTTCCGGTTCCGGAAACGGCCTACGTCACGGCTTGTTTTGCGGTCAGTTGGAGAGAATGAAAAAGTCGATATTTCAATAATTTTTTGTGTAGAAGTTAATAAACCGAGACGAAAACGGATGCCTGTTCGGCATTCAGTGAACATTGACGGTTTAATGTATAAGTTATCTGGAAAAAGTAAAAAGGTCATTTCATGGTCCCTTTAATTCAAACTCTCTTAATGCAAGTTTGTGGATAATTCAAACTAAAAATGCAGGTCCCACCCTATGCGTCTCTATGAGAGGAAACTCGCAGTAATTCAAACTTTGCTTTATTCAAACAAATTTTCGGTCCGCCTCAGATTCAAATTAACGAGATTCCACTGTATTAGACAAATTATTCGATGGTGCAGCAATGGGCAGATGACTCTAAATTTCGACAAATGCAAATTCATTTAGTTTTCCCACTGTGCTCACCTTCGACCTTTTTATTACCATCTCAACACCTCCCCCATCGTCGTGTGCAGTTCAAATAAATATCTCGGCATTCATTTAACATCTGGCCTTTCATGGACGTCTTGCATCAGTAATATAGTAGCTAAGGCAAACCGTTCCCTCAGCTTTTCGTGCCGAAACCTGAAACCCGCAACACCGGAGATGAAACAACTAGCATACTCAACTTTAGTTCAGTCTAAGCTTGAATTCGCTTCTCCTGTATGGTGCCCTTGGTAATCTTACCTAGTTATAAAACTTTAATTCACCCAAAACAGAGCTCTGCGCTTTATTTTCTCTGATCAGTAATTACTAACCATTAACAAGCATATCTGGATGGCGGGAAAGTGCTGAACTTCCCACACTTTCATTAAAGTGCCGAGTGTCCGGTGTTTCTCTCCTTCACCGTATCTTTCATCATAACACACCTCTTCGTGAATGGCTACTTTTACCCATGTGTAATGACCACTACCGTAATGCCAGACTCCCACCGGAGTGACAAACAAAAACAACCAACACGGACAAGCCTCCAACCCATGCAGCATGCTCGCAATGGTCCCTCTGGCAGGCGTTTAGTCGATCGGTGCTCATGAAGTATGCACCAGTGATTGCAAGCCTGTCAAAGATGCCCTCGCATGCATGACGCTCGTGTTTGAGCATAGCCTCTTTTATTCTACAAAGCCCGTCGAATCACGAAAGAGTCTGGTTCGAGGCTTGTCGCTGTCGGTTGTTTCTGTTTGTCACTCTAGTGGGACTCGGGCATAAGTTGCGGCCATTGTTTTTCTCAACTACTTCATACAGCAATTCAACTTAACCCTTGGCCATCAACGATTGGAAAATATAGTGCAACCCACTTATAACGATAATGAGAAAGCCCTAAATTTCAATCATTATAATCGATTATTGTTGTATCTGGATTAGGAACTGATCATTTTCAGTCTAGAAATTCAAGAAACCGGTGTTACAAACGGTACACCGTTATACGTGGTATCGTTATAAGTGGGTTGCACTGTACTATTCAATGAGATAGTTTCCATAACTGACACATAAATTTGCTGCCTCTGTAACTACTTTCATTTCTGCTTTATCCGACTGATTCCTTCTACTGGTGTGAAGATTGCGTGCAAAAATTGTTCAGTTGAAAAAAATTAACACAAAAAATGTACCGTACCCTTATGTGATGCCGTAAGGGCTTTCTAGGATAATAAATGATGATAATGATACTTCACTTTAGAATCGAAACGAGTTTCTCGCCGAGCACGTTCCGACGCACGTTTTGGATCAAACGTTCCATATTTCGGTTCCCACAAACATTGCGTCGGAAAGATTCCGCCCCATTTATTCTGCCCCAAATACTCCCCCAGAAAGTAGACGCCCGAGGTTTCTTAGAGCGTGGCAGCGCGCAGCACCGCAAGGGCGTCGCGCGCCTCGGCCGAGAAAGGGCCCCCTCACCCCTGGGCTTGAGCCACTTCTTGGCGTGAAGGTAGGTCTCGAGCATGCGCTCGTTGAACAGCATGTAGCCCATGGGCTCCGAGATGATGACGTCCACGGGCTCGGGCAGCGTAATCTCCTCGATCTTGCCTGGCACCACCACCACCTTGTCCGAGGCCTTGTTATGGTACACCAGGCACTGCGAGGCGGCCGAAAAGCACGGCCGGCGTGACCGGAGGCCCGGCCGCCCGGTGCGGACTTGGAGCGCCGCGACGGCGCTCAACATGCACTACTGTCGAAGTACACCGTTGAGGCCGACGTAGCTCCCGCGGTGCTACCGCCGCATAATTTTGCCGGGCGTCGACTCGAAAAGTGTTTTGTCTGGCAACACACTCTTCTTTTTTTACAAGCAAAAGCAAAGGTGGTGCACCGTTTCCAATTTAAAGTCAATATAACACAAATGAACACGGTGGTACGGTCCAATCTCAATATTTCTAACCCTCTTAATTCAAACTTCCGGCTGATTTCAAATGGCGCTGTGGTTCCGTCAAAGTTAGGCGTATCTAAATGTGCGAAAACGCCCGGTAATTCAAACGTGTGAGGGTTTGCGACGGTTAATTTGAATGTACCGCGCCGCTGACCATTCTTTCAGCAGCTCACCAACTCACGCGGCGGCACCTCCGACCAAGCAGCGAGGTAGAGAGCCTGTATTACAGCGAGTGTCCAACTGCTCGCTGTTGGGTCACGTGGTTAATGAGCCGTGTTCGCGGTACGAGCTACAAGGAGGTGACGGACGGGTCAATCGTCTGCAAACGTCTCCGCCTTTCTGCCCGCTTCCCTCCTTGCCACACGAAAACGCAGTGCTTACGCACTTACGACCAATCTCCATCATTAAACTGAAAACGCTACCCGTGGTTCGAGACGGACCGTCTCTGCAATCTAGGCTCTCTACGTGCAGTTGCACGCCGGCTGCCGGTAACCATGGCAACGGATCGCGTGGCGACCCTGAACGCTGCAGTACCAGGGAACGGGTTCCAGCAGTGACCGCCGCCAATCTAGGTGTTTTGTTGAGTTTAGTTTGTTTAGTGTAAAGCGAGGGTAGTGCGTAACGAAACTAATAAAGGTCAGCGACATAGCCAGGCAGGTCGATTGCATTGGTGCGTGTGTTTACGTGAGTCGCGGCACCCGGCGCCGGAGTCGTGTGTTTGTGATTACGAGACACTCGGGTGGATGGACACAAGCATGGAAATGCCCGGGCGATACCGCGTTACGAAATGGTGCCGTAATGCCCAAATCACATCTAGCATTTTTGCTTTTGATTTTGCAGTTGAGACGTCGCTCGTGCGGCAAATTATGCGCGGTGATAGCTGCGGTACACAACGTCGCAACTCCGAAATCAAAAGTAAAATCAAATTGCGTGAATTTGGCTTTTCGAGGAGACAACCTACAATTTGCTTCTGCTGTTTGCCTACGTTGTTTCCGATGGACCCTGTGGTTTACATTCGTTCCTACCAAGCCCGATGAATGTAAGTTTTAGTTATCGGAGTGATTCTCTTTGATTATTCATTCAACCCTTTATAAACTATTGACAAGTGTTGCCTACACGCGACAAACCGCACAAATCTTTTGTTTGGTTTCATCGTTTTGGTTTTATCCCGTTTTTCTATCTTGTGATTTGGCAACAGTGTAGAAGATCAAAACTACGGCACCATATAGTGAAAATATACACAAATAGTTGATGAGAAAAAGTGTGGTGCGCAAACACACGGCGACCGAGAACGGCAGAATGACGAAAAATATGAATAAGCGTTTTTCTCTTAACACTAAAATTTTACGATAGGTGACCGTTTCACATGGGATTATCGTATGCGCAGATATTATTGACATTTTATGGTCATCCTTAGAGGTTACACAAGGGAGCCACCTTCGGACGTTTGCGTGGTGTTAAAATAGGTAACAAAGCTACAACTTCCAAGTTTAACTTACAATTTGTTTTTTCATTTGAGCTCTGTTCTTTTATTTGATCTTGCTAAGCATAAGTATCTTAAAAAACAAATGCTTTAAGCAATTTTTGTATCTCTCGTCAATAAAGGGTTAAGCTACAAGAATTGAACATCTTATGTCAATTTTAGGAATGAAGCATCCGCATTCTCCTGGCTGGAGCAAGTCCGCAAGCTCCAAGCGACGTTTGTTGAGTCCCGGCAGAAATGCGTGCAGGCGTGCATCACCGATTACTTTCGTTCGCAACGCGCACCGTAAAACTTGTAAATACATGTTCCAGAACTTGTTGCTCGTGTGTTAGCTCAGTACCCACGTGTCGCCTAACGCAGCACTGCACGTGTCCTCCATTTAATGAGCTTCCTTTAACTCAAACTCCATTCAATTCAAAGAAATTTTCAGCCTCTTCGAATTCGAATGATTGAGATTGAACTGTAAATAGAGTTCACCAAGATGATGATTTGGAAGGAGAAGTCATCACTAATTGGCACTTCTTTCAAAATTAACATCTTGGTGGACTCTATATGTACAGCTGCAACGGAAAAAGAGTAGCACAAGTGACCGACGACGGGAGCGACAAAATCGCGACATGCGGCGCTTTTGTTCCCGAGCGCGCTGATAGCACGAATGACAGTCAGTTTCCATGTCTCAACGCGGGGGCGGCCGGCAGCAAGCAGCTTATTTTAAAGCCTGCATTTTGAAAGCTATCTTATCCCTCAACTTTCTGCCGGCCACCCCCCACATTGAAAAATGCAACATGACTTGCACTCTCGCTATCGGCGAGCTCGGGAACAATAGCACCGCGTGTCGCGGTTTTGTCGCTCCGGTCATCGGTCTCTTGTGCTACTCTTTTTCCGTTGCAGCTGTACTACCACCCTATTCATCTTTGATATGTGGGATTTAAGTCGGATAGGCCTATGACAGTGCCGACTGAGGAATATTATTTTTCTATCCTTTTACTCTCCTCAACCTAACTATTGTCTGTTCCGCCCATTTGCTCGCTCGTTTTGTAAAACGATTCTCGGTTCCACATGCGAAGAAAGCTGCGGTACCCGTTCCCGGCCGATGCACCGCAGGTTCCGGTACTCCTTCAGGTCTGCGTCAAGGAGCTTCTGCCAAAACTCGTCTAGCATGCCGCACTCCGTCCTGCACATTCAACCAGCCTTTCGTCCGGCAAGACCGAGACACAATGAGGTTGGGCAAGACCGTTCTTTACATGTGGTGTATCGAAATGCTGCGTACGAATGCATGGGGGAGAGGACATGGGCAAATGCCCCTTTGCAGGCCCAGGCACCTTTACTCCGACTCATCTTTAGAAGAACCATACTTGTGTTATGCCTCGAGTTAGTAAAAGTAGCGGCGCTTCGCGCTAAGCCTCTCGCGGTGTTCTGTCTTGAGCGATGCGTAACAGCAGCACACGATTCTTTCATATTAATGCTAAACTGCTGTGACCGTAGCATTAGCTCTTGGACGATCATGCCACTGCTCAGTCGTTGAGTGGTTTGGTCTATCCTCCTCGTCCCTCGTCTCCTCCTCCGCGCAAATGAACTCGGGAGCTGGATGAACTGCGGATGTGTAGTCACGCGATTGATCCATCCATGAATGAATCTGTCGCGTGAGTCGACCGCCCGTTTTTTGGACATAAAAACCGGGAAGCAAATGCACCGGGTGGGAAATTGATATGCGCATTCCTACGGGAACTCGGCGAGACGAACGCTCCCGAACATGAATGCTGGGAAAACACAAAAACCGGGAATGTGTCGACCAGGTTCCACCGTATTTCTTTCTTCCCCTTGACCCAGACACGGTTTGGTAGAAAACGGAGCGGCAGACGACGCGACCGCAGCAAGTGCACCGTGGGCCTGCCTCTTTCTCCTATCGTTTTGGAAGTGGCTCCCACAAAATCGGCGAGGTGGCAACTGTGCCGCCGGGCGACACTCCCAAGAAGTACCCCAAGGTCGTCCTCAAACCCACCTCCGCGTGCTTTGCCATGGAGCTGGCTTCGACTGCAAACACCTTGCGGGCTCCGGCCTGGACCGCAAAGAAGGAGAGGATGCCCGAGCCGGCACCCACGTCCAGGATGACCTGCACCATTTGCACGGTTGACGGCGAGGCAAAGAAACAAACTACAGCAAGAAGGGTCCCTAAAAAACCTGAAATTATGTTTATGCGCGGCCCCTTTGCATTATAAAAAAACTGTTGGGCCCTTCCACTTCATGTGAAGATGGAGGACCAGCCAAGCTGTTATCTTTTTTGACGTCTAGGTGGATGCCTAGAGGACGACGTCTAAGACGACGTCCAAGACGACCTCAAGGACGACGCCCAGAGGACGACGCCCAGAGGACGACAGCTAGAACAACCTCAAGGACGACTTCTAGGACGACCTCGAGGACGACGCCTCGAGGATGACACTTAGGACGACCTCAGAGACAACGCCTGGGATGACCTCAAGGACAATGTCTAGAACGACCTCAAGGACGACCTGGAGGACAACTTCTAGGACGACCTTGAGGGTGATGTCTAGACGACCTCAAGGACAACCTCGAGGACAACCCCTCAGACGACCTCAAGGATGATCTCAAAGACAACATCTAGGACGCCCTCAAGGACGACTTCTAAGACGACTTCTAGGACGACGCCTAGAAAAATTCAGCCTTTCCACTCTGGTGAAAACCAGAGTGAAAAAATTGCCGCCATCTATGAGCAACAGTGGCAACCAGACAACCGGCAAGCCGGTTACCTGGTTGCTGCCGTCGCTCATAGATGGCGGGTAGCTGTCTGGAGTTTTGTGTCGACGTTTATTTGTCCGTGGACACGATACTGGGGAAGCTAGCCCTTAACAGCTCTGCTGTAAAAGTCATGAAAGATCTTGGCACCTACCGTTGGCTCAGAATGACAGATGGCACTACCCAGCCTCGCTGAATATGATCGAACGACAGATGGCGCTTGTCAGCCACTCGCGAGCGATGGGTTCCCGCGTGGACAAACGATCGTCCAACCCATAGTTATTATAATAAACGCTAGAGGCTCAGCTGGCGCTAGTGTCTATGGGACTTCCGGTTGCAAATTGAAGCAGACAGCATGCAGTCTACTTTTCCAGTCTTCCTGTGTATTCCTATGGTAAACACGCGTGAATTTTGTCTCGTCGCCGGAAAATAACATGATTAACGCTTGTTATTTCGGTTGTACCGGACAGTATGCACCTTTATTACTATTGTGAAAGTGTAATTGCTTTAGTTACAGCATTTTTCTTTTACCACTGAACGATGTTAAACTTCGCTATATTCCAGGCCCAAACCTCTGTTCCATGGCAGGTATGTAGAAACAACCGACGATTCTAGGCAAAATAACGATCGAAAGGAATGTAGAGTGTGTTAAAAGTCCGCCAGCATTCCGTTGGTGCTTATATATCGCTAATATGCCTGTCCTCTCACTAGTATATGAATATGACCCCGTCGTGCATCTTTACGAGTGGCTGAAAAAACGTTCGAAACGTAAAGAATAAAGTATGTGGGCTCTGAAAGGTGTGTTTTCTTATTATTTCCTATGTCGGGCAGTTTTTATCGCGCACCTGTTCTCTGGCTTCCCCCTATTTGCAAAGATTTGGAGCGTGCGGGTGATGATTTGAACACAGAACAAGCATCTTCGCACATATTCATGAGCAGAAAGAATAAGGCAGTACTTATTAATTGCAAATCAGACTATATTACGTGACTTTATATTTATTTCGATCGTCTGCAAGCACAAGGAGTTACTTATCCAGTGTAAACTGCGTAGTTCTTCTCGTCTCTCTTGGTTTTCCAGATGTCGTTCCTTCGTTTGACACGTATATCCCCGATGCTAGAAAGCGCTGACACCGTGTTCGCGCTAACAGTGCCCGACAGTGCATATAAATACATGTACGAAGCGGTTTTAGCACCGTTTTTCATGCCACGATTTTAAAATAAAAATGCCGTAACTGACCAATTATTTCATCTGCGTGACTGGGAAATGTTCCAATGTGCCTAGTAGGTACGAAATATTCGTGATATTTGCTCTTATAATCGAGCGCAGAGAGGAAATGCACTCGCTTATTTCCGTAGAAATGCATTACCGGAAGTCAATTTCGGATTGTTTGCTGTCTGCTTCAATTTGCAACAGCACACTAGCGACAGTTGAGCCTCTAGCGTACATTATAATAACTCTATGGTCCAACCAGTCCCGCTTGTCCACGCTGGAACCCATCGCTCACCAGTGGCTGACAAGCGCCGTCCATCGTTCGACCACCTTACGAGAGGCTCGGTATTGCCATCTGCCGTTCCGCACCAACGGTAAATGTCGGGAAGTTTGATTGTATCTTTAATATGAAAATCGGCCGTGCATGAGTGTAATTTGCAGGTTTTTTAGCATGTTTATCGAGCTTGTACAATGAGTTATGACCATAAAACGAGCACCTCAAGTAGCACTTTAGTGCCCCTTTAACGTGGTGCGAGAGCATCTGACAACGCTAGTCTACCGAGCAGCTCTTGCTTGGCACATTAGTGTAGGCAACGTAGTTCTAGACAACTTTGCATCCGCTAACGGAGCCGGCCGAGCAGACTCGAGCCGAACTGCGGCGGGTCGACCCTACCCACAAGTACATAGCGGATGCTATCTCACCCCGGGAAATTCGCACCGGCTCGAACCCCGACGAAATCAGCACACTAAGGTGCGAGTGCGTTCAGTACCCTTCGTGTATGGTACCGGCACGACTTGAGGAAAGGGCCAAGGTGGCCTCGATCACCTTGTCCTTGAAGTCCTCCATGTTGTTGAGTATGGCCCGCTGATAGGTGGAGGTTCGGATGTAGTCTTGCATCATGTTCTGCTGCTGGGACAGGTATCCGTAGAACTGCACAGCCCAGGGAGGAGCAAAGGGGTGAGCGGTGCTTCAATACAATTGGGAATGGACCAGAAATCAAGGGTTTGCGTCGACGCTAGTATTTGAGCTAGGAACGCAACTAGGAACTTTTGGTCCGTTAAAGGGGCTCTGCGACAACTTTTTGACCGGTTTTTAATTGGCACTGATCCTGAGCGCACTGAACGTAGCAACTTAATAAAACTTATTTTCTTAAATATTGCTTTATTTTAAAAGTTATAGGCAAATTAGAATTACAAAAACAAGCAAAAAATAACCTCCCTCATGGAGTCGTAGGCCCTGGCTTGAGTGACCGTGAACCAGAGGAAGGGTAGTGAGCTCATCTAGCGCTCACAGCTGCCGCACTCCATGTTGACGGCTCGAGAGGGCGCCACTAAAGCATGTGTTGGATAGGCTGTATGAAGCGGGCAACCAGGGCGGCTTGCATTGCATTTGATGCACGATTAAACACTAATTCGGCAGGACACTTGATTGGCCACAAACGACAGCAAACAGGGGGTAAATATCAGTTCAGAACGGGAGCCACTTCGCGCTCCCATACCACCAAAAGGCCAAACCGCAAGCGAAAGCTGCTCGCCGAAGGCCTTGGGAACGCTTGGAGCCGGTCGAATCCTCCAGTCCCTACGACCGCAGCGCCACCGCATACATCCGGGACCTTTCTACGCTCGCCGTTCGTCGGCGCCTCATCCCATTACACCTTTGTAGTATGCACCATTTTTTCCGCCGCTTGGTGGCGGGTATGTCGACGGGTCATTTCTTGTTACCGTACTTTATAAAATGCATTTGTTTCTTTTCTGATCTAAAATACTGAACAAAATCTCCTTTCATACATAATTGAAACAGTTCGCGACACTTATGTTTTGTATGTCGACTAAAAAAAAAAGATTTTCAGCAGTTCTGACCAGTATTAAGCCCAGGACCAAAGACGTCACATATCGCGCGCTTTCGGCAACGCGGGTCGCCCTCGTAGGTGGAGGAGGTTTCCGCGTCGTCCGTTCAAAATATGGCGCACTGATGTTGAGTTACTCTCTGCGTGCCCGCTGGCTTGCCCGAACCCAAGAGACGTGGAAACCGCAAAAAAGGTAGACGCTTAAATATGATTGCAGGGCCTTTTTAAAATCAAGCTCACTTTCACTCATTAAAACGTTAATTCGCAAATTTGAGCTTATTATTCGTCTCATTGTACCGATTATCCCTTGCCCACTGGCTGAATGACTCGGCCGTAGAGACCACATTAGTGTACCTTTTGCAGCCTCTTTTAGAAATATCTGTTAAGACTAATACGAAACACCCTGTGTTTCAGGCACATACATTCATTCGGTGTTCAAAATCATCTACTAACGTGAAAAAGATAATTTCAGTCTCTCGAGGAGCTTCCCCTTCGGTTCTTCAAATACGCCACTAAAAGTAATCAATGAGAAATATTTGTTGTCCGCGCATGATGACAACGTAGACCACACTTGACGAGTGAAGACGGAGAGTCAGATATCGCTCCGACTGCAGCTCTAGGACAATGTCATGCATTCGAATAAACGGGTGACATCGAACATCCGATGTTTTGCTGAGATATTTGTAAGATGGCCGATCAGCTCCAGCGTCGCCTCCTAAACCGTCGTCGGCTTCTATATTTAGAGCTGTGTGCAGACACTGCTCGCAATTTCAATCGCTCGAGCCTCCTCCCAATACGATTTCCAAATTATGAGCCTTGAATGTGTCCTCACTTCCACCAGGAAAATGCCGCTCCACTAGCAGAAAAAGGACCAAGAGGCTGGAAAAATAGGGGAAATGAGCTGGCCGTGTGTACTTGAGGAGCGGGCATGTCAACTACTGCAGAGGAAGATTGCGCTAAAAAAAAAATTAAGGGAAGATGCTACGCAGACGCTTTTTCTAAAATATATACTCTAAAATGATTAAACTTGAGCTACTTTTTGAGTTCTCTTTTTCAAAGCGATGATTAGTTTTAATGTTGCTTCTTTAGTATTGTGTTTAGAAGAAGGAACAACTACACGAAAAAATTGTTTTTGCGTGCAAATTTACGGACACTAATTTTTTATGAGAGGCACGCCGCGAAAAGCTAATTTCGTTTCTTAAGTGCAGCGTGCCAGCAACTAGCCAAGAGCTGCGTAAAATTTTCTATACGAAACGTGCGGTAGGTGTCAGCTAGTAACGAGCACCACTTACTAACGTGGCTCATGCACCTACTTTCCTGCAGAGCATTTAAAGAAGCAATTATCCCAATCTGCCTAAACAATCCTAGCACTAATGACGATGCTCAGGGAAAACTTTCCTTCTAAAACTTTTATCCACGCCGCCACCTTATGCAGCAGAGAAGTCGGGCTCGGCATTGCGGGGTAGAGTGCGTTTTCAAGTGGAATCGTTCCCATGCGAGTGAGGCATTTCGGGGATCCCCGGCTCAGTCACTGATTTGCCTCAAAATCGGTTGAACACATTAATGGGCACGCCTCAACTAGTAGGTAGTCACCCAGATTACAGGTCACAATAATTTTTTTACCCCAGAGATTTGGGAGTTTTAAATTTGGTTTCAAAGGGTCTGCCATCACTGAAAATGTGACATCACTTGTTGTCGCATAAGGGCAGTGCAGCTTGTTCCCAATGGATTACGAGTCTCACAACGTAAAACGAATGCGGGAGGAAAATGAATGCGCAAAATGCTGTCCGTCCGACTCACGAGTTATACAACTGCCGTGTTCCAAATCTTGCTCGAATGGATCCGAGACACTCCGGCGGATCGGGCCGTGCAACGAGACAGATAGAGTAACGCCAGATGCAGGTAGGTTTTCGAACGCCAAGGTACAAAACCTTTACCCTAGAGCAACATTGAGTAAATACTGAAACACGGCTAACACATGATATCGCTCTGCCAAAAGCACGGGAAAAATTTGAATGTCAGTTTTGGCATAACCTTAGCTCACAATTTCTTTTTCAATACCTATTATGAATTTAGAGATAATAAACGGCGTGCAGGGAAGACTGAAGCCCGGGCACTCCAAAGAGCCGTTAAGTCTGGTAGCTCGCAGAGATCCAGAGATACAGAGATCCCATTTAAACGGATACTAGAATGACATTCTGGAGCTTATTTGTTGGTCTATGTGTGTTCAAAGGAGCAGAATTACATTGGATACACCAATATCTCGTTAAAAAAAGCCACGAAAAGAAATTTTAAAACTAATCAAACAATTAGCAAAGAGCAGCTGGTTGATGTCGCTAAAGCCTCGTTTGTAATGCCTGTCTAGGAACCTTGACAAGTAGTGACGATAATTGTCGCGTAGAACTAAACAAGCTCTGAACCCGACGTCATCCCGACAGCTCTACAGCCAGCACAAGAAAAGAGGGGAGGGAGGAACTCCCCACTCAACAGGACTCTCTCTCGTCTGCTTTAAACATCGCTACTATTCCTCTAGAAAATTATATAAGATTAACCCGTCACTCAAAAATTCACACAAAAGCAGCTTTGCAATCAGTGGCGGTGGCCCGATCGCTGGCATGCTTCGACCGCTTCGGAGGCTGCAACAACAGGGCATCCTAACGACGTCAGCCTTGCTGCAGCTTTGCTCATTCCGAGACCTAACTACGTCACGATTGTGGCGAATGTGACGTGCTCTCCGCTGGCTGCTCTCCGAGCGCTTGCCAGAGTGGGCCGTTTATGACCAAAAATACAGCCAACAGGCTCAAAATACAAACGTGCGATTGTCATTGACGGACAGTGTGGATCATATTCAGCCTATTTCTGAACATGACGAGTATATTTCAAATTTCGTTGAAGTACCCCTTTAAAGTCGTCCGAGAAAACCGGCCGGACGGGGAGGGTCATCCTCACCTGGAAGTACTGCGTTGCCGAGGCCTCGTCCGTCCTCTGAGCAAATATGGACGAAATGTGGCCGCTCTTGAACTTGTCCACGATCCCGTGGAACCGCAGCACCTCTGAGAACACGGAGAGAGGAGACGCCCCGGTCACAAACTGGACACAGCAACGCTCTCGAGGTTCTCGAGCCCCAGCCCTTGTCAACTCGGTTAAGGACACTCGGGCTGCCTTTTCATTTCCAAAAGTCCCTCCGCAGACACATCCTTTCCCAAAAACGAAAGGAGCTCCCACTAACAAATTATCCTGGGAATTTGGTGGAGCAGTGCAAATCTACATATTCAATAAGGTAACAGTAACCCCCACACATGCACGCACACACACATTTTTGTTTTTCATGTGCATGGACAGGACACATATGACCCAATATTAATCTTGCTCAACATTTCTTTAGCGCAATACTGTTAGACATTTTAGGAAGCCAAAATCAAACTATTTTGCGACATCAACTTCAAAATAGAAACTGGTTTCAGTTTATAAAAAATGTGCCACACAACATATTGTGAACAAAGAGGGGGGAAGGTGATTATTGAATTTATTGCATTAAAGCTAGGGAAAGGGAAAGGGAGAGAGAGCTGGCGAAAAATTGGGCCAGGAGCGGGGATTGAACCCGCAACCTTCGCCTGTCCGGGGTGACGCCTTAACCGATTAGACCACCCCGGACACTGGTTTCGACATACTCAATTTCCGACCAGTAAATGAAAACGTTGCCAAAAAAACAACTTGGAAACTTAGAAACTTTCTTTCCCAATCATTCTGCCGGGAGGACATCAGGGCGAAACAGTTGAAAAATAAAGTCCAAGTTGTTTTCTGGCGACAATTTCAGTTGCCCAAGTTTTTTCCTGCTTTCAAGATTCCACTCCTTTATATACACCAACTCATGTTTACAAACAAACCGGAGCGCCCCTAGCGGACGCCACCGGCACCGCGCATGCACGGTGGACGGTGGGCAGGAAGCCCGCCGTCGCCCATAAACAAACCATTGCATTGCGTTGTTTTCGGCGGCGGTGGGAGTCCTTGTGCTCTTTTTCGCATTAGAATTGTTGATTCTACGTCCTCCTAACAATGTCTGACAACTTCAGCGGCTTCAGCAAAATTAACAAGGCAAAACTTTGCGTGAATAATGTGACTTGCGGCAATTCATTTCACGTGGACGCCGCAAAATGGGCGCTAAAGCCCGACTCGCACAATGAGATTCTGCTCGCTATTTTCAGTCGCGACGTCACTTGGGCTGCAAAAGCGTGGACCTCAGCCGAGATGGTGGACGTCGATACTGAAAACCGCAAGTAGAATCGGGCACTACAAATCGGTGATGGCCACTGGTAACCATGATCAATATCTTGTATCTACTGTTTACACTTAGTCTACTTACCTCAACCAACCTTCAAGAGTGTTTTGAGGCCTGCACAATTAGTTCTTATCGCAATTACTGGGTCAACGTTTGGTTTACGGGCCGCTGTCGTTTGAACGAGCTGACAAGAAAAAGCAGACAAGTTTGAAAGAGCAGACGACAGTTTGAACGCTAGCACAATTGAGTGCGGGCAAGAAGCACCGCGTCCCGCGTCAACAAACCATTGGAATGTCACGTTGTCGGCGTCTGTGTGAGTCTGCATACTGTTTTTCGTGTTGGGATTGTCTATTTTACGTCCTCATAGCAATATCTTACCACTTAATCGCCTGAGCGAAATTATCAAGGCTCGTTACACCACTAAACTTTGCGTAAATAATTTGACGCTTGGTGATTCATTGGCGTGAACGCTGAAGAATGGACACCAAAACCATGATGAGATTCTTCTAGATATTTTCGGTTCCGACGTCGCTCGTGCTGCAAAAATGTAGAAGGTAGCGGCGATGATAGACGTCGATACTGAAATTCGGAAGCAGGAACAGACCAAGCGTAACAAGTCGGTGATGGCCACTGGTACCAATGATCAACATCTTGTATCTACTCTTTACACCGAGCCTACATAAGTCTTTTGAGGCCTGCAATTACTTCTTATTGCAATCACCGAGCAAAGTCTGGTCTACGGGCCGCTTTTGTTCGAACGAGCAGACGACAAAAAGCAGGCCCAAAAGAGCAGACGAAAGTTCGAACGATCATGCGGCCGTGTGAATTTGAAGACGCACTGAACCCGCGGGTGGCCCGGACAACTTGGCGGTTTTCTCTCGTTCATGTTGGAACATAACAAAAACATCTGCAGTGATGGAAGTGCCATTTGACCTTTTGGAGCAGGCCTTGTAGCAGGCAAAGTGTTGTTTTGGAGCAGGTAGTGGCCCTTTTGGAGCAGGGTCCGGCATATGTTGGCAGATTACTTGAAAATGAAATAATGCTGCATCGCTATATAAAGCCCATCTCTATTATTAGAACACAGCGCCTGTCGCCTTTTTAAGACAGGATATATAAAATTAAACAAAGTAAACACAAAAAAAAAACATTTTTTTAAAATAAAGTTTATCTGCTCGTGAGATAACAAAATACAATTAAATATGTCACACTGAGTTCTGATGGTACAGGATATTTAGTTTTATCGGCCTGCACTTCTTTTAAGGTATCTGCAGCAGCATCTTACGACCCGCAATGTTGTGGAATGTTTTAGTTCAGATTAGATTTGTCTTTCGGGGAGCAGCTTCAAATATTGCGGTATCTGATATTTGCTTCAAAAATTCCGATTCATTTTCGATGTGCTGGCGAAGTCACGATCGGATCACGGCGAGTTAACCCGTTGAGGGCGCTCCGTGGCATGCACCGACGCGCTGCAGAGAAGCGACACCCGCGGAGCAGACACCGCAGTCGCGCGAGTCACGCAGTGCTTTGTGCTTCGAAAAGGACAGTGAGGCTTTACCAGCACTATATCCAGAGTTTGGTGCAACTCAACTGTACTTCGTTTCAGCTTCGGTGCGAGCGCAGCCGAAGCGCGCGCATGGTGCCCGTAAAGGTGCCCACACTGCACGAGCCCACGCGCGAGCCAGGGATGCACAGAGCATTGGGCTCGCGCTAGCTTTGACTTCGCTGGTCAGCTACCGCACGGGAACAGGGCGGGCCAACGTTGAAAACGTCCACAATCTCGGCCTTATTTTTTAAAAAAAATAGGCTGCTCAGTGGGATGGTTTTCGCTTAGCCTCTGCGGCTTTGGTCTCAGATGTTGCTAACGTTGTTCCTTTCAATGATGATGATGATAATAAACCCTCGCAGTTTTGGTTTGCGTAACGGTTGCAGCGCGGAAAATACCGCAGTACCGCCACGCGCTCTGATAAGACTTCAATTTTCATTTTTTATAGCTACATCTCGTCTCGGCGCAGGCATGGCGCAATTCTTCGGTAAAATGACAATTTCGCGCTACATGTAGCAGGATTGCGTCCTTGGCTCAATTTGGCGCAATTGGCGCAGCACTTCCATTACTGCATCTGCCGACCACAAAGTGTTGCCCGCACAAGCAATCGTAGTTCGACATCTTCTGGTTTACCCTTTTCACGGCTACTATCCACGTACTCGGACGAATGGAGCGGGCAGAAATATATGAAAAGTGATCTTCAAACCTTTCCAGAATCTTTTGGTACGGCCCCCGTCGCAGGATTTTGACGAGAATGCAGGTTTTTTTGTCTGGTTCATCCGAAAAGAACACAAGAATGCATGTCTAACATGGTGACTCCTGCCCACCGCCCCAGACCGGAAGTGCGGCCAACGCGCCACTACCGCGGCGTGACGTAGGAGTGTCGAGTTTGTGTATAAATACATATATTTTGTGTCACGTGTGTCCTATCGAGGCACCAGAAAAAGAAAAAAAAAAAGCTTTTCGGGAGTTCAGTGGCCCCTTTATAGGGGTTGTGAAGCATTTTGAGAAAATTCTCGTCTAGATCCTCATTTTGAATCCTGGTCCTTTAGTACATAACCGACACACATTCATTTGGTTGTCCAGATTCCCCTCCTAGCGTAAAAAAAGATAGCTTCGGTTTCCTGGGGACCTACCTTCACGCTCAGTTCTTCGAGTACTTCACTATAGGAAGCATTCACGAGACGTTACAATTCAGTGCAGATCTGCTATTTGCCATGGCCGGGTGCAACACTGGAAGCATGTGTAGTGTGCGCACAACATCGTGCATAAGCATGTTTTTAACCACCGTTCTTGGTGTGCGTCAAGTGCTGTTCTTGCGAATCGGTTCATTTCTTCTCTGTTTCGTTGTTGGTGTGCATATGGCCAAGGGTCACTGCGTGTGCTCTCACGTTTATGTACTCTCACAATCGTGTTCTCAACTAAGCAGGTGTGCGCGAAGATGGCACAGAATCTAACCGAGCACTTCCTGTCCGTCGACTTTGCTAGGCGACTTCACCCAAGCTTCTCGGCAAGACACAATTTTAGCTTTTGTCTTATGCCGACCCCGTACGACATTCTGTCGCTCATGCTGCCCAAGGGTGTCGCACTGTCGTTTCGGACAGTACGAAAAAAGCAGACATTTAAATTCCATTTATACACCAACTCAACTCTCCTACGTCACGCCGCGGTGGTGGCACGTCGGCCGCACTTCCGGTCTGGGGCGGTGGGCAGAAGTCGCCGTGCCAGACATGCGTTCCTGTGTTCCTTTGGAAGAAACGAGACAAAAAACCTGCCTTCTCGTCAAAATGCTGCGACGAGGGCTGTGCCAAAAGAGTCTGTAAAGGTTTGAGATCAGTTTTCATGTGTTTCTGCCCCCTCCGTTCGTCCGAGTATGTGGATAGTAGCCGTGAAAAGGGTAAACCAGACGCTGTCGAACTACAATTGCTTGTGCGGGTAAGACTTCGTGGTCGCCAGATGAATTTGTTTTGTTCCAACATGAACAAGAGAAAACCGCCAAGTTGGCCGGGCCCCTCGCGGGTCCAGTGCGTCTTCAAATTCACACGGCCGCCTGATCGTTCGAACTTTCGTCTGCTCTTCAGAACTTGTCTGCTTTTTGTCGTCTGCTCGTTCAAACAAAAGCGGCCCGTAGACCAAACTTTGACCCGGTGATTGCAATAAGAAATTATTGCAGGCCTCAAACGACTTAAGCAGGCTCGGTGTAAACAGTACATACAAGATGTTGATCATTGGCACCAGTGGCCATCACCGACATTTTACGCTTGGTCTGTTTCCGCTTCCGAATTTCAGTATCGATGTCTATCATCGCCGCTACCTTCTACACTTTTGCACCACGAGCGACATCGCGACCGAAAATATCTAGAAGATTCTGATCGTGGTTTTGGCGTCCATCTGTGGCGTTCACGCGATCGCCGCACGTCAAATTATTTACGCAAAGTTTAACGGTGTAACGAGCCTTGATAGTTTCGCTCAGGCGATTAAAGTGGTAAGACATTGCTATGGGGACGTAGATTCGACAATTCCAACGCGAAAAAGAGTATGCAGACTCACACAGACGCCGACAACGTGACATTCCAAAGGTTCGTGGACGCAGGACGCGGTGCTTCTTGCCCGCACTCCATTTCGCATGCGTTCGAACTGTCGTCTGCTCTTTCAAACTTGTCTGCTTTTTGTCGTCAGCGCGTTCAAACAACAGCGGCCCGTAAACCAAACGTTGACCCGGTAATTGCGATAAGAACTAAGTGCAGGCCTCAAAACACTTTTTAAGGTTGGTTGGGATAAGTAGACTAAGTGTCAACAGTGGATACAAGATGGTGATCATTGTTACCAGTGGCCATCACCGATTTGTAATGCCCAATTCTACTTGCGGTTTTCAGTATTGACGTCCACCATCTCAGTTAGGGTCCACGCTTTTGCAGCCCGAGCGAGGTCGCGACTGAAAATAGCGAGCAGAATCTCATCGTGGGAATCAGGCTTTAGCGCCCATTCTGCGGCGTCCACGTAAAATGAATCGCCGCAAGTCACATTATTCACGCAAAGTTTTGCCTCGTTAATTTTGCAGAAGCCGCTCAAGTAGTCACACATTGTTAGGACGACGTAAAATCAACAATTCCAACGCGAAAAAGAGCATGGGGACTCTTTCGACGCCGAAAACAACGCAATGCAATGGTTTGTTTATGGGCGACCGCGAGCTTCTTGCCCACCGTCCACCACGCATGCGCGGCGCCGGTGGCTTCCGCTAGGGGCGCTCCGGTTTGTTTGTAAACATGAGTTGGTATATACTTAGGTATAGACGCTTTCAGCGAGTCAGTTACTCGAGCTGCCACCAGTCGGCACGCCCTTCGCGCGCTTTCCGGGCCGCCATAGCCGACCTTCAGTTTCCCGCCGTTGCTACGCGTTGTGTGCTGCGCAGGCCACTATCGGAGCTTCGTTTTCGTGTTCTTTTACGTTCCGCGTTGAAATCTTGTATTCCTTTAGGTCTTTTCGATATTTAGGATTTTCATTTAATCATTTGAAATTTATATCTTGATATAGCTCTTGTATTTTCTTATTTATGGAATCGGACAGCGAATGGGTCGACGATACAAGATTATGAGGCTTCAATGACCATGTAAGTTCATTCCATTCTTACGTTTTTGTCGCTAATAAAGGCAGTCAAAACTATTGCGGCATATGTAAATTGCAACTGACGCAATAAGGCTATCACAGTCGTGCTTCTCGCTGCATGTGCGCGCTCGTTTCCGTAAAGCCGACCCGCATGTAAGCGATTTAGCATGCGACGAGACGAGCGACGGAGATTTCTCACTGTCACCCGTCGCATCGCTCGGTTTGGGGATTTCTGGAAAACGTCCCTCACCGTCTTGGTCGCTTGCTTCGTCGCTTCCATGCGGTTTGCCTCGTCACGCGACTGACTGAGCGACAGCAAAGCGGGTCGCCATCGCTTATCTGGTCGCTCGCCAAATCGCTTACATGCGGTTTATACTCAATTAATTTCCATGCACACAGAATTGAACCATTGGCGCCTCGATATTAAGTATAAACCGCGTGCAAGCGATTCGGCCAGCAACGAGACAAGCGACGGTGACCAGCTTCGTTGTCGCTCAAGCAGTCGCGCGACGAGGCAAACCGCACGGAAGCGACGGGAGCAAGCGACCAAGACGGTGAGCGACGTTTTCTAGAAATCCCAAAAAACCGAGCTATGCAACAGGCGACAGTGAGAAATCTTCGTCGCTGACTCTCGCAATTGTCGCCGTCGCTCGTCTCGTCGCACGCTAAGTCGCTTACATGCGGGTCGGCTTTACGGAAACGAGCGCGCACACGCAGCGACAAGCACGACTGGATAGCCTTACTGCGTCAGTTGAAATTTGCATATGTCGCAATGTCGTTGACTGCCCTTTATTAGGGAGAAAAACGTTAGAATGGGATGAACTTACATGGTCTCTGAAACCATAATCTTGTATCGTCGATCCATTCGCTGTCCGATTCCATTTCATAAATAAGAAAATACAAGAGCTTTGTTAAAATATAGATATCAAATGATTAAATGAAAGCCCGAAATATCGAAAAGACCTAAAGAAACCACACGATTTCAACGCGGAACGTAAAAGAACGCGAAAACAAAGCTTCGGTAGTGGCCGGTGCAGCACACAACGCGGAGGAACGGCGAGAAACTGAAGGGCGGCTATGGCGGCGGGGTCACGTGACGTCAAGATGGCGGCGCCCATGAAATGTTGCCTGAAAGGGTCTATAACAAAAGTCAAGATTCAAGACGTCAACACGAGAAAGACCGAGCAGGCGGCCGACCACGACTCTCACCTTCGCACGTGGGGAACTGTAGCAAGAGGGTGCCCTTGCCATGAGTAATTACGTAGGCTCGCTTCCCCACGCGGGCCGTGTCCGTGTCCTTGAAAACCTCCACCTCGTGCACTCCCTCCGGCCCATTGCTGTCTCCTGAAAGCCAGAGAATAGTGAGCCCACCTCGGCAAACTTCAATGAGCTGGTATGCAATGCGCGTGGAGTTCATATGAATATCTAGAGCGAAAGGTCCCGTTCATTTCGGCCGCTTCGAAGCAGCGGGGCATAGACGCGGTCCGGACGGTACCACATTGTTAGCGACGTTTTGATGTACGCAAAGAAGCAGAAAAATGTCACTCGCAAGGTCTGTATCTAGTGTTTTTCTAGCCTTAATTTGAAGAAAAACACCGGAGCAGCACATTGTAGAAAAATGAATAAAGATGGCCAGCACTTGAACAACTTCAACTCGCCACGGCAAAACGAACACGCCTAACCTATCGTCTGCTTTCTTTCTCCGCCTTTCTGTCACTCTCTTTCTCTGAAGGCCACCGATGTCGGCACTTACAATTTGCCCCGTTCTACCGCGAGAACAAGATTACACTGCCACGCAGCCAGCACAAATGCAACGTCAAAGCTCTTCTTGGCTCAAGTGTTAAATCGCTTCAGTTGTGGAAGCACCCACAGATGCTGTACAATGGATAGCATTTAAAGCCGCATCCGACTTTTCCGAATGGAGGCGCTGCCTGCGTCGTTTGCTAGCCGCAAGCTTTGGACACTTGTCACCCGTGTCATTTTAAAATATGCAGAAACGTGCAAAAATTCTTGTGTGGGCAAATAAGCAAATTTTCGGAAAATGTGCCGCATGTGCAGACACACTTCTTTCTGCAACTCGATATCTGAAGATTTTAAATGTGATTCAATACCCACAGCAATACGCAAAAAACCGCCATTAATGAAGCAATTTTTTTTTTTTTTTACGCAACGACACAATAGCAGTTTTATACATTTCAAAAATAGCGTGCCACCCAAGAAACAAGCAGGAAACCTACAATGATGGTAATGCAGGGTGAACTGCCCTTGCAAGTCACGTGCAAATAGCCCCCCCTGCAGAGCAGATTTCCACAACCGGGTTGACGTTACGATTTTTCTATCGTGTACACCACACTCAAAACGTTACTTCCCAAGTTGATACGACAAACAAATGTTGGTGCAACGTGGACAAGGTGCCTTTTCCCGGTCATTTCGCTTATGCATAAAAAAATATTGCAGCACCCAGGAACTGCCAGGAGGCCTACATAATGTTCCGTCTGTTACCCGAGAAAAACACTCATTAAAAGAAGAGCCTACCTGCAACAACTGTTTAGGAATAAAAAAGATATTGTGATAGCGAGAAAAATTGTAAAAAAAGATTGCACTATGGCTTGTTTCTTTGTACCTAAAATGGTTTTAAAATATGACCCCTGTAGCAAACGACAGTGGCCTCATCTGGTTTAAACCAATTTTAATCAAATACGTAAAAGCTACAGCAAAAAATATGCATTGCGAGAAAACAGGCAACTCTACCCTCAATAACATCAGTCAACAGAAGGGTCCCCACTATACATTGCATCTCAGTCTCTGAACAAATCCACAAGATGCAAAAGTGCGCAGGTACCGAGTTTCCGACAGCTGTGACACAGGTGACACACTTCAGCCAGCAACACGCATCCCCAGAATCCAGCCACAGCTGCTGCACCATGCCACCTGTGCTCTCTCAACAGCTGATAACACGATTCATGCTAGCTCGGGGCTGTGAGGCTCACTTGACCGTTTCTGTCAAAGCGTAGAGGAAACACAAAATTCCGTTCCCTTAACCTTACAAGTGCCGGTTTTTTCCCCCCTACATGCTGAACAGAAATTTTGGTCTCAATAACACTGTAGCATGTTTTGTGAAGAATATTCACTTACCAAAGACACATAGTTCTAGGGAAAAATGTTTGCAAATCTCCAAACTAGGACAGCTTTTCTCGTATTACTTTTATCGAGACATGGTAATGCGCGGTGGTACCTCGACCTGTCTTTTGAGAGCCTCACCTGGCCGTTCCCTTATTTAAAACTGTAATTTCCGCCGTTTTTACATTTAATGCAATCAATTTAACTCGAGATTGGAGCTGAAAGAGGAAGAACTATAAGGAGGTGTGATTAAGTAAAATCTATAGCCGAGATTGAGACACTGTCTGTCCCACTTTCTTTTTTGTACCACTATCAGAAGTTTTTTTCCTCCTTCTGGCCTAGTCTCGGGTTAAATTTACCATGGTAAACTTCCACAAGCTTGTCTGCACACCAATTGTATTTTTTGTATTCACGAATCAAATACGAAGCTCATTAGCAAGTTTTAAATCTTGGTTTGCCATACGTCAGGTTGAAATACATAGATTTGCCTTTCGTAACGGTAAAGGAGCATACCGAAGCGAAATTAGCCTAAACAAACATTTTCACATGCCATCAAAAAGTGAAACCACAACATAAGGCCTACTGAAAGTCCAGTTGTGAGTGGCAGAAAAAAAAAAACTAAGCCTGAGTATACTTGGGTGTTTCAAAGGTTCAATGATCTTTCATTTAAAAGCAGCTCAAAGGAAGCTAGGACATTTTTTCCAAATTTCTAGACAGGTTTGGTCTCGTGTTGTAATGAAAGAGCACTTACGAATATCTTTTTTACGAAGAAATATGAAGGAAACTAAAACTTTGCGACATACACCTCTCCACCTCAATTAAAGCAAAACCAAGGTGGCGACGTTGCGGACAATAGACAATTGCACAAAGCTTTCGACGTACTGAGCGTCAGACTGACTTTGCCGTGACCACACATGCAGCCAGAGCACTTTTCAAAGACACAAGTTGACGTCACCTAGCGCGGGTCACCAACAACGGTGGTGGACGATAGTTATTGGCTCGGCGCGTCACTCATTTAGAATGCTTTGAATCTCCACCTTGATAGATTGGTTTGCCACCACCTCTGAAAAATATTCTACAAATATTCACAGTTAAATGCGACTTCAGAAATCACTTTGGAGTTTACCTTAATTTATTTTCTCTCTCTCTCTTTTTCTCACTTAAATAAAAAGTCCAGATGGGAAGACTGTAAAGGCCTTCGGGAGAGTTAACTACACTTGCCAAAAATGTGACCATGCCTTTGACATTTCAGTCCATACATTAGGAAAACAAACACACCGTGGAAGCAGACGTCAAGGTCAGAGTTGCCGCATCCCACATTATCGGCACGATAAGATTTCAACAGCAGGAAAGAAAACAACTCGATCATTCACAATATGAGATTAGGAAAGCACACAACATGCAAACTTCAGAGAAGAGATTCCAACTAAAGGAGCTGCAAACGATATTGGCAGCTTTTGCTGAACTTTGTCCAACTCCGCAATCATGGCTTCTCATGTGACTACTGGATGCTGCAAACATTTTTACGAGGTCATGAAACTGCACCTATTCTGACAGTTTCGTCCTGGGGTAACTTAGAGCAGCCACAGATCCGCGCCACTTTGACTCAAACCATTCCCCCGTGACCGTGTCAAAGTTTGAAAAGCCAGGCGACAAAAAATGCCCGCTTCATATCCGTGCCAATATTTATTACAAATCACGACCCACCAATGAAGGCAACCACAGGTCAAGAACAGAATGCTCAGATCTTCCCCGCTCCCTTTCCTTCAGTCGCATGAAACAACCAAACAGAACTTGAAATAGTTTATAGACGTGATATGTACACCCTCGCTCACACAATTATAAACACATCTTTCACGAAAACAAGTAAATTTAAAGACCTTCAAGGTGGCCCTCTGGTTTTGGCTGGTGTTTGCTTCTCTTGGCAAACTGTAGCAAGACGTTAATTGTGCGGTGGCGTCTTGACGCTCATAGTGTAGCGCTTTGCACAAAAACAATTAAACCCTTTTTGGGGTCTTGGGAAGCTTTTTAACTGCAAATTACAATTTTTTTTTTTTTTACTGCGATTGACAATATGTTTACAGCCATGGAATAGAATGTGGGGAAGCGGGCTTAAAGGTTCTGTAGTTATTACTTCTGCCTTCCCTCTTTCCAAATGGCCGTAGAAAAGTACAGGCACCCTCAGCACAATACCCTTCAAACATAACTTGCGCAACTGTCACATATCATCAGGCCCCCCAAGTTTGCACAAAAAGAATGTGTTCCCTTTGACCAACACAATGAGAAAGAGAGGAAACAATTTTTAGCCACGGTGTATAGGACCTTTTTGTCTTCACCTTACAGGCATTCTCACAATGATGAAGACAAAACCTAATTGATATACGCCAGTTTCAAAGCACAAGAAGTTTTGGCAGCAGACTCTCTGAGGGTAGCTAGTACAATCTGCAGCAAGTCTAGGGCAGGCTCTCAAAATGACTACCTAGGTTGACTGAAAACAATGACATGCTTTCAGAGAAGAGAAAAATGCATGTCATCTCCACAACTACATTATTTGCATCCTTGAAGGAAGTGAATCCCTAAATTTACATACAAATTTGTAAAAGAAAAAAAAAAAAATAAGAGAGAACTGGCATCAATGTGTGTAAAACAAAAAAAGAAAAACAGTACGGAAAGGCCAATCTTCTTCTGAAGACATAATTTGAGCGCCTTTTGTTTTTAGCCACTACGTTGGACACTGTAGTAGTATTGTTTGATATAAAAGAAATGTGCAGCCACATCAGCTATTCAATGCGGGCAGATCCTCTGGCACCCCGCAAAAACATGTTGCAACTCAGCCCATCGGCAGTTTAGCCGATGGGCTGAGGAGGGGAGGTTACGCGAAGCGATGTGCAGCTTATTGTCAGCCTGGCCAGCGTGCGAAACGCTTACATCACACGTGCACGTGCTACAGAATCCAAAATTCTCTCTCGCTTTTCGGGCGGCACGAAGCACGGAAATTTTGACGTGTAGGACTTCAGAAACACCTGAAAGTACCTCTTTCGAGGTTTGGAGTTCGGCATTGCGCCGTGAAGCCACAGTGGCCAGTAGAATGCTAGTTACATGTGCAACAAACACACACGCCGTACTTCTTGCCTCGAAACTGGCCGAAACAACGAGGCCCAACAACGTCTGAACACGCCGAACCAACATGCAACCGTGCACCGCCGAACACACGTACAAAAGCTTTGAGCTTTGGATTGGTTTTCGATCCGTGGCCACCGGATAGACAGATAGTAAAAACCACGACCCTGCTGTGGACGGTACCTATTGTCCTCTTGTGGCGGTACAAGATACCGCCAACAACGGAGTTACAAAAACATCAACAAAAAAATAAAACAAAAATTAAAAAAAAAAAATTAAAAAATATATTTTTTGTAAGATTTGAAGCAAGATTCGTAAAATCAGTCCCAATTCATACATTTTACGAAAAATTCCGAAGAGTTGGCAGGTATGCAGAAGTAACGTGCGTTACTTTTTATTGGTAGCGGTAACACTTTCAATTTATTTTGAGGTAACGTAGGTCGGTGACGTATTCCTTTTATTTGCAAGTAACAAGTAACGTATTTCATTGATTTTTCCGGTAACGCCTACAACATCTGCCGTTCTGTCGCCGATCCCCTCAAGCAGGAGGGGATCGGCAACAGAACGGCAGATGTTGTAGGCGTTACCGAAAAGAAGTAACAAAATACGTTACTCGCTTCGCACGTGCTATAGCACGGGCGTAGCGAGCCTCCGACGAGCGCTTGGCCGGTGCTTTGTGCGTGGACACCGTGGGAACAAAATCCGGGTGGTCTCGATCGGACGACGGTTTCCCTGCACATAAGCAAGCCTCGGGACGGAGATTGAAATGGAAGCCGCACTTGCCTTGAGGAAAGTGCTTGCCGCACAAACGGTCGTTCGCGTGAGGCGACCATTCTTTTCGATCCACGGATATTACCCACCTTCTGTGCCTTTCAGAGTCTGCCAAGAACTTGTGGAAACTCACTCCACTACTTCTTTTGTACCTTTCGGTGCAATGCTTTGCGGCATGCTGAAATGATATGACGCCCATGCGAAACGTGCGTCTTTCTGCCCACACCACCCAGCTCCGGCGCGATTGCAGCGCCGCCACAGCTCCATGACGTCAAGCCCGCCGTGTCGGTCTATAAATATATAAAATTACTTGTTTTCTCGTGCTCAATATTCAAATCATGCAGGATGAGACTGGACTATACAGACGATTCCACAAGGACTGTCAGGACAGCACTATTTTGTTCAACTGCAGAGCCATCCACATAAATCCACACTTTTCAACAGATTTGGCACCATGAAAGAGGGAAAGGGCACATGCCCGATCCCAGTATCAGACGACAAATGGATTATTTTTAACCTTTGAATAGTTCCAATGGGCTGTACCAAGCATCAAATGCTCATTCGTTGCTACCACTGTACAGCGGTTTCGTTTGTATAACATTCATGGTAACTCCAGGTGCAGTCCACTGTGCTGTTTCATTTATAAATAATCACCTAGTGCATCTTCATTCTGCAACTTCAATAGCAATGGCGCCCACAGGCAGCACTGCCCTTAACCGTTGCGTCTTCTGCGTCAGCAGAAAATCCAATCCTTAGGTACACGAGTTCGACAAAGCCTCGCAGAGTTTCTTTGAAAGCTCATGCGAATGTACAATTTTTCTTACTCCAGGGTTGGAAGGAATAGAACCCAGAATGCATTTCCTTCGGTTTTCTCAACCACAAGGGATAGAAATTTGTTTGTTAAAGGGATGCTGAACCGATATGTGGAGCTCACAAAACAAGGCTAGAGTGATAGGTGGAACGCTAAAAACCCCCCCAAAAAAACATCACTCATACAGCTATATCTATAACGGATAGCCGTAGTTTTAGAAGTGTGGGATTGAACACTGCTGAAGTGGCCGACGAGACATGAGACGTAGTGATCCTTATTCCCTCTCCTTTTTGCTTTTTCCCCTCGAGCAGGTGAACTGAAGCAAGAAGGAGATAAAGCAAGGCCACTTCTCCTCAGTCTCAACTGTTCAAAGAGAATCGTGACATCACATTCCTCGCTTGAATGCACCCTTCTTTTTAGAATCTCCATTTGCGCATCCTTAGTGCCTATCAAAGCTATGCACACACTCTTGCTATTTCTAAAAAGGGCAGAAAAAGACATCAGAAGTGGTGCCAGTGCGGGGGTATATTCCTGGCAAGCTTGCGACTGCATGTGCGGCCCTCGAGCAACACGCGCTTGGCGGCAGAAAGATCTCCTTATGACGTAACGAACGGTCAGAGGTTTCTCGTGTTTAGTCACATCCTGAGAGGAAACAAAACGTGATATTCAGATTCACAGGATAAAACTATGCTAGAATCAACCTCTATCTCATTTTTTCGAAGTGTTTCACCTTCCCTTTAAATTAAGGAAGCACTGTCACGTACAAACTAGCTGCTGTACTCCAAGTTTTTTTAAATAGCAATAAATAAACAACTTTCACACAAAACTTGAATCCAAATGACCGACCTATCCATAACCACGGCCCTGGGTTTTTGACAACGCACTGCATACCCATCTTGCTTCCAAAGTACCACCTATGTGTATGCATCTCAAAAAAGTTACTCTGATTACTAGTAGACTACTACAAACAGCTGCAATAACGTAGGTGCTTTAACGCTTAGCATACAACGAATTACACGGACTCATTGCTTGTTCACAAAAATTTGCAAGGCTGTTGTTCGTCATTTTGTAACCATGTTTTTGATTCTTTCTCTTTTTTTTTTTTCAATTCAGAGACTATTTTGTGTAGCAACGAAAGGCCTAAATCAGTATGAACCTTATCTCGCATAAAGTTGCCGCAACCGCACTGACTTTTCGTCAAAGAGGACAGACCGACCTTACTGTTTACAGAGTTGTTTCAGTTTTATCTTCTATTGGCAATGGCAGGTGACAGCGAAAGTATACCCAATTAGTCTCTCTGTTAGGATATCTCGCCCATCTAAAACCACCAGAAATTTCAGAAATGAGGCGATTGTAAGCCCTGCTTGAGCGCCAGCTGTATTTTCGTTACTGCCCACTCCAAAGAGAAGACCACATACTGGAGAAAAATACTCTTTTGCATTCAGGATGTCTCCTTTAGCTTCCAAATTTTTTTTTTCTTCTCCTACCTCGTATGAAAGCGTTCACAGTTGCTATGCATGTGGCTGCTTTCTAAACGATTCAGAAGTACTCCAGAAACTAAACAAAATCGAGAGAGTTCTTCTTGTAGTTCGTACACTATCACTTTTCTTTGTATTTATCCATGATTGTCTGCTAATTTCAATCACTACTTTTCTCTTTTTTTCGGCAATTTTTCGCTTCAGTGACCTTCAAAAAATCGAGAAATGCGGCTGCTTTATAAAGGAACCCAAGAAACTAAACAAAAACAAAAGTATTTCTTGCACTTTGTACACGATCACTTTTTTTTATTTTATTTGTGCATGATTGACGGCTAATTTCCATCACTACTTTTATCTTTTTTCGGCAATTTTTCGCTCGAGTCACCTCGAAAAATCGAGAAATGTGAATTTACCGCGCCGACTTCTTCGAAACACGAACGCGCGTCAAGAACAAGGATGACGTTCTCCGGGTTACATATGCAACACCGCACAGTACTACTGGTGGTTCTCGGCGCGGCGCAGGGAACACCACGGTAGACGAAGTGACGCCGTCGCAATCCCCATCAATAAGATTTTAACTTTAAACAATTTTGCGCGAATAAACGCCCAGTAAATGGCAAACGAACAGCAAACACCCGTCGCATGATCGCGCAGTCCAACGATCTGCAAGATTCCCAAGTCTCTAAACGTAGTCACGGAATGAAGTCGCTAAACGCAATCGTCGTTTAAAATAAATTAAAACAAACAAGCAAGAGAGTGTCGACAAGCGTTTCACGGAACGAAACGACCAAAGAAAAACCTCGCAATTTCTAGCCGTCCTCTATGTCGGTATTTGGGAAGAAAAAAGCGCATCGGTGACTAACGCGAACGCTCATGAGTCAAATGAAGGAGAGAAAAAAAAAAAGTAAGAAACGGTCGATATTTAATAAATCTGGAGCGATTACGCAATAAACGCAATGCGCGTCGCCAAAGCCACGCGGTTGAGAGGGCTGCGAAGAAAACGGCTGCCGCGCAAAACGAGGTGCACCCCGTAGCGACCTTTTTGCGACGCGGAAAGGCTACGATTCGAAGCGTTCGTCCCGGAGAAAAAACAAAATGCCACCGAGGATGGTACCGAAAATTAAAAGGACAACTAAAAACAAGAAACGTGCCGATGACGGTTCACGAGCTCACTGCCTTGCCATCGAACAAGATGTCGCAACGCACCGCGCGTCGAACATCCATACAAAAACCGTTTGGCCCCGGCGTTCGCTTTCTACCAAAACGCCGATTAAAAACAAGCAATTTTCGGAGTGGTAGAAAGCGAACTGCGGTGCGAATTGGAGCGTCTTAAGCCTAAAAGGGCCTGGAAAACGAGTAGGATCCGGGCCCATTGTAAACAATGCCCCCCCGAAAAGCGCCGTTCGAGACAAAGAAACGGCCTAGCAAATCGGCCGTTGAGAAGCGGGTAAAAGGCGCCGGTGCGGCGATCCACTCACGCTTTTTGAACTTGACGATTAAATTCTCCGACTCGTCGGCGACTGTCAGAAGCAGCGGGAGGGGAAACTTCTGCGTGATTTCACCGGTATCGGACAGGCTGGATAAAACAACTCCTTCAAACCCGGCCGCCATATTTACAAGACCCCCGTTTGACCGCCAGGTGAGATGAGGATTTCAGCCGAGCATTCGACTCAAAAGCCGCCGTTTGACGCTAGAAATTACTGGGACGCTCGGGGGGCGCGAAGGCACGTGCAGCACGCGCAGTGACTCATCTCTTCTTTTATTTCGCGCGAACTGAGAGGCATTTATTGTTTTTTGTTTCGTTCACTGGCGATAGATGGCTCCCCTCCCGCGAAGCGACTTTATGTTAGCCATAGATGCGGATTGGAACGAGAGGAACGAGAAAATGAGCCAAGCAAGCAGGCAGACATTCTGATTCCTGAAGCACGCCAACAAGCCGACTCATCCTCACTGTGCACCCAACCTACCCAAAAACGTGCTAGTAAACGGTAAAAAAAAAACTTAAATTTATGCAAAGTAATGTTGTTTAATTTAAATTTAGTAAGTTTACTTAAGCCACTTTGCACCAACACGGTTGTACTGAAATGAAGATTAACTTCGGGCCGTCGGCCGCGTCGGCTGCCTTTATGCAATCCGATCCAAATCCACTCGGCGAAAACGTTTTTAGTTCGTGTTCGCGCGCTTGTTTTGTCGTCGAATTGACACCACAACGTTTGACGTTTGTTTCCCAAAAATGTCAAAGTGACTGGCCTGCCTAAAGCTAGTTGCTGCGCCACCCTTGACGTTCGGAAGCCACTAGAGGGGTAAAGCTCGCATAATATCATCAGCAGGAATGGACGACGGAGATGCCGAGGAGAGTGTGATGACCGAGCTCCGTCCCCTCCAAATCGACACGCTTTCGCTAGAAGTGTACGAAGGCAGCAGCAACGAAGAACAAGACGACGGTGACGACGACGACGACGATGACGAGTCTCTCACCGGCTCTGGCTTCGTCGAAGTGCCCAACAACCTCGAGAATTGCCTGGAACTGAACCGCGCGTATCGTGAGATCCTCACCGAAGCCATCGGGCAGCTGACGGTCACGCTAGAAAACAACCGCCAGCTGCAGCGCGAGTTGCCCAAGCAGCTCGCCGAACGCGTGAACCGGCCGACCATGCCGACGCACCGTAAGAACTGGCACCACGGACTCGTGTTCCACCACCCGTACTTCCGGGACATTAACGGCATGCGCCCGCCGCCCAACCAGGACGAAGTGACCAAGCGCCAGAACCGCGAACAGGATCCGTACCTGGACATCGCGGTCCGCTGGTCGACCGAGGAGATCCGGATGCTCGTGAACGGGGTCCGGAACAGCCTGCTGCAGCAGCTCATTGAATCGCTGATGGACAGAAAAGAGGCCATGGCGCAGAGGCTGCTGGCGGCCGACGAAAGGGGCGACGATATGATCTCCGAGAAGGTCTCCAAGGAGGAGTTGACGGAGCGGATCCGCGTCATCGACGGCGAGATCGAGCAGGCGAAGGCTTTCGAGCTCCGCCAGCTGCTGAACGTCTCGACGCGCCCCGTGGACTGGCTGCGCATCTCGGCGGTCGACATGGGCGGTATGCGGTCGGCCTTCTCCTGCGAGATGAACTGGAAGCACCTGCACGACGACGAGCTGAACAGGTAGCGATCGCTCGCTGGTGGCCCCCGTTGCATGTCGCACAGCGCGCAAGCAGGCGTCCGACATCGGCGCATTCACCTTTCACCGGCGGTAGTGAACGTTAGGACCGGGAAAACGTAGAAACCGAGAACGTATCAGCGGGGTCCTACCGCGTGCCACGTTTTTCTGCGACTCCGGCCATTTCCGCGTGGTGCGGAAGCGGGCATTCCGACATCTAAGTTCACACTGCTAACATTTCGGTCAGCTGTCAGAGCGTGCTTGGACGTAATCCTCTTTTGGGCGTCACACGATGCTGCAGGATGGTGAGGTTCTTGTGCAGCGGGTAACCTCTTCATGCAGAGTACCTATTAATAGACAGCTTTAGATGGGAACCCTCCAGGGACCTTTCTTGCTCGCGTTTATCTGACCGCAGGACGTCGCAGTGTCACATGACGTCTTGGTCTTGAGAGCCATTGTGCGTTCTTGTCCAGAACGTTCCAGAAAGTACCATGTGTATAACGCAGTGGTAAGGGGCCGGATGTCGCCATCCTGGCGGTTAGTCATAGAAATCCTGGCGAGAAGCGCGAGCAAATGCGAGTCTCGCCGTCGTCGCAGCGTCTCAACTTCTGGCTGCAGAAGCTTCCACGGTCTGTCACAGTGGAGAGTGACCTGCAGCCAGAACAGGCATGTGCCACATCCACCACCGTTGCTGGGATACTGCCAGGATCGCAACTGGCGACAGCGTGATGCTCCCGTGACGTCACCAGGCGGAGATGGAGGGAGCCCTTTTTTGGGTGTGGTAAAGACACCAGTCGGAGGCGCATTCCAGGCACCATAGTTGCAGTGCCACGTGATGTGAGGGTGTCACCTAACGTCGGGGTGTCCCGTAACGTCATGTCACAATTTTCCTGCTGAGTTTAGGCTGAATATACCTCCGCTAAATTCCGATTGAAATTGCCGCTTAATAAGAATCCCCCCAAGTGCCGTTGCGTTCGATGGAATGTCTATGCCGGGCAATGTTTTCATTTTATAGCGCCCAAAGGCCCGGTAATTGGTATTACATACTGTCATTGATAGAAAATAGTAGATGAATTTATAACTGAAAGTAAACGTTTATTCTGGCAAACTTGCGCCCACAAACTTTTTTTAAAAAATACCACGCATCAAGCGTTGGCAGCAGAAGGTTGACTGTCAGAAACCGGCCCCTTACCGCTGCGTTATGCACATGGTACTTTCTGGAACGTTCTGGACTAGAACGCACGATGGCACCCGAGAATGATCTGGAACTTTCTAGAATAGCAAAGGTCGATAAAAGAAGGCACTGGGTCGAGCGAGGTTTGAATCCCGTATTCTCTCGCGTGGCAGCCTCATACGTTGCCAACTCCTCCACGCTTTCAACAGTACGAGGGTATGTGGTGTAGCGTGTCGTTTGTACGCACTCGCGACATTAGCAATAGACCCTTTCCGAAATTCAGTGCCATCTCGTGGCTCAAATGGCGGTTTATTTTTTGCCTTTCTAATGGCTGCAGTGAACCTGTAGCCTGCAGTATTTTATCAGGCACCGTCATTTCCGCAAGTCAACGGCAAACGATAGTGCGCTGTTCATGGTACAATTCTTTCTCGATCATCTCTTTCAGTGTCGATGGCCACAAAGATCCAACCAGTCAGAACGAAGCACCAGCCCAGATAGGCGCCATGATAAAGTTCTACACATGAAGAGGCTTTGAAGCCCATTCTGTGCTACTAACTGATTGACTGGGCCCGAGTTATAGAAATGAATGCTTACGCAGTTCCTGCATTCAATTCCTGCTTCGCAACGTGCCAACGTCTCGAATGTATAGGCCTCGAACCCTCAGCAACTTCTGCCTTCATCAGTAAATGGGAGGCCGCCATTAGTACGGCACATATATTATTTTTCACATGATGATGACAGTGATTAAAGTGGCCAGTCTGAATTTCGGAAAGGGTCTATTGGCAGCAACTGACCGCCTTTGGCCACCCGACCTCCAGGGGACCCTGGACGAGCGCCGAGGACGACCGCCTGCGCAAGATCGCAGCCAAGTGGCAGGAGCGCTGCTGGGACGAGGTTTCCCTGGAGCTGCGCAGCGGACGCAGCGCCTTTCAGTGTGCCCGGCGCTACTGGGGCCACCTGGTGCACCGCTACCGCCACGGCTCCTTCACCCAAAAGGAGGACGACCTGCTCATGCGGCTCGTGGAGGCCTGCTCCAATGGGGACTCCATCCCCTGGGCACAGGTCGGTCGGTCTGTCGGTCAACCTATCGGGGGTTCCCAAATATGCACAGAGAATGAGCGTATCAAAATACATCCTTGGCACGTCGGAACACAAGGAACGCCAACTAACAGGCAACACAAAGAGTGCGCGTGCAACGACGAGGCAGCCAAGCTAAGGTGATCTGCCATTGGCCGAAATGGGGGGTAAACAAAAGCATGTGGGTGCATTTATTTATTTATTTATTGCCAAAAGCATTACAGAGGGGTGTGGTGAAAAATGACACAAAAATAATTTGAACAAGGGTTAAACATTTGAAAACATATGGTTACCAACACTTAAGCAATAAAGAGCACTATCGAAAATTGACGTGAATGATGAAGGTAAATTATTCTGGTCGTTTGACACTCTTGGGTCGAAGGATGCGTAAAATAAGTTATAGCGGCAAAACGGGACGCCAACCTTGTAAAGATGATCGAGGCGAAAAGAAATAAAAGATGGTGGGGTTATTAGCTCATCTTTTAGTATGGGGTTGTGATAGAATATTTTGTGAAAAAGACACTAGAGATTTGCGGCGATGTTCAAAACTGTGTAGGGGTAAGGAGTTTATCATCGAAGTAACACTAGTGGTTACCAAATAAAACACACTGATCTATTTTGTACAGCCTCGAGTGATTTAGTAAAGTCCTTTGTTCCAGGACTGCACATGGAGGCTGCATATTCAAGCTTTGATCTTACTAATGTTTTATAGAGAAGTAGCTTTCAAGGTGAACATGTTAGAAAAAAGTTATGTTTAAGATAATCGGGCATCCGGTTAGTATTGTTAATTATGTGAGAAACATGTGGGTTCCAGGTAAGATCGCTCATTTTCCTTTGCTTGGAGCCACTCATTTTCCTGAGACCACACAGGAACGCGTTTAACGAGCTTTTAATGAACGAGGACATTCATTAAAAGCTCCTGTTTCACCGAATATTCCCATAAACCCCTTGGTACCTGCAGACTAAGGTGATCCGTGCTATAAAAAAAAAATGAGACATTTACAACTCCCTGTAATGCCGAATTAGAGCGCACCTCTTGAGGAGGAGGCGGGAGGGGATGGTAGGGAGAAGAGGGTATGCCCCTCCTCCTCTCCTCCCCCTCCTCCATCCTTCTCTCATTCTCTTCCCTTCCTCATGACGTCACTCGGGAAGGTTGTGACCTTCACTGTAAAGGTCGTTACCTTCACGAGTGACGTTCATGACCCTCGTGACGTCACGTGTGCCATCATTAGGGGAAACATCCCATAATGCAACACGCGGTTACGGCGACGCCGCTTAAGCCGGAAATGGGTGCCTAAGAGCTGAGCTCTAAAATGGTGGCGATATTATCTTCTGTTAGGAGCCAATCCATCCTCTGCCGCTGCACACACTGTGAACCCAAAAGATATTCCCTGCAAGGATCGTCACGAGGTAGTCAAACGTCTCATAATGCGAAGATGGCAACGTGACTGGCATGGTGAGGTAAACAGTAAGTTGCACATGACGAAGCATTTCCGGAAGAAGTGAGAGGGTGCCTGACATTGCAGACGATTCTGAGAGGTGGTACTCTGCCGTCTAAGCATTAGTCGTACGCGGCTTGCACGTGCGGCGAAAATGTCATGGAGGGTGGATTGCCATAGCCCTATAACTATGTTTCATATCTTACTCGAATGCGACGCACATGACCTAAAATGCCTTAATCGCTTTTGCAGCTACACCTCACAATTTTACTTGGCTGCAGACCCCTTATACCGCACTCGCGTTTCTAATTTTCTCGAAATTGCGTACCTTTTACGCTTATATGCAGCTCGTGTTCACAGCTCTACCTTATCCCCTGCTACTAGAGCTGTCTCTTCTCGTCAACCCTTTCTCCGTGATAGTGAACGTACCAGGCGCATTTTGGCCTTGGATACTTTTGTGCCACTATAGTAGCTGACAAGATGAGAACAGCGGGGAGGACCTTGAGTTGTCACACCTGCACACGCATCCAATGCACGGCAACGAGGACGTGCTGGAAGCCGGACGTTTGAAAGAGGCCCTGCTGTTCTCACTTTGTCGGCGACCGTAAAACCCAATCGATCGATCTCGAATGCTGCTTTAGTGCCCCTCCCAAAACACTCGCAGGTTGCGCACTTCATGGGCGACCGGAGCATGAAGCAGCTGATGAACCGCTACGAGCGCAGCATTGCCCCGCACCGCCGCCTGGGCAGGTGGACCCCCGAGGAGGACCTCATGCTGCTGGCCGCCGTGCATATCTGCAAGGCCAACTGGAAGAAGGCAAGCCGGCCCTCGTCTGGACGCTGGTCGACCGACAATCTTAGATCTGTTGGTTGACGAGCTCCCCGGAAGTGTGTCGTTCCAAAATGGCCCTTCTCCGTTGCTTGCACATGAGCAGGTAGGGGCGGATGGCGACCCTGGCGCAACTTGGGCACAATTCCTGAGGGCGACGGAGGTGGATGGCTTTCAAAGACAAGGCGCCAGCCGTTCAAGGAAGCTCGTCAATTGGCTTTGATCTAGCAACGTTGGGCCAACCCATGCTCCCACTCGGATTTACTCCGCTGCGGCTGCGCCCTGGTTCCATGAGCTTCTGCGATGTGCTCTTGCTTTAGAAACCATTTGAACGCTTGCTATTCAATTTTTACGGGCGAAGCTCCTTAGGGGCGACCCATGTCCGTATGCCCGTCCGCCATAGAGTGCACGTGCTCCTGCTCGTGAGCTCACATGCTCACGAGCATGTGAGCACGTGCTCCTGTGCTCGTGTAAGGGAAAAAAAACGCATCTCCACGTGGTGAATGATGTTGACTGGGGCGAAGCTCTGGTGGTGCTTGTCTGCATAGACGGTGAGCCGCAGCATGCCGAGCCTTTCGTTCATTTTTATCCATGTCAGAAAGAGAATTTGTGGTATGGAACGTGGTTATATACGCATTTGACCGTAGCGTGACACGGATGAAAACTAACGGAAGGCTTGGCATGCTGCGGCTCACCGTCTACGCAGACAAGCACCACCAGAGCTTCGCCCCAATCAACATCATTCACCACGTGGAGATGCGTTGTTTTTTTTTTTTCTTTCTAACTCCGCGCATGTTTAAAGAGACGCTCGGAGAGGGGACAGGGCTGCCGCCACGATACTTCAGCGCCAACCGTCTCACCGATACAGACAAGTGAATAAAAAAAAACGCTCGGATAAGAAAAACAAAGAACCCCCCCGCAGTCGATGCGTGTCCGATCACGCATCGCTCGCACGAGAGCGCTCGCTCGGTCGTCACCACGCCGCCAAAGAAAGCGGAGGTCCTCCCCCCATCTCTTCCCTTACTCCATTTGTTGGTCGTTCTGGGCGTTACGTGCGCATGTTTTTTTTTGTAGTTTTGACTGGCAATAATTTTAATACATTTATGTAATTTGTCCTCCACATTTTCTTTAAACTTAGTGGGATACATTAATCTTAAAAAAACAAAAAAAAATTAAAACTTGTATGTAACAAACGAGGTAGTTTTTGAATACTACGCTATGGCGGCGCCCATGCACAGCTGCTTTTCAGCAGCTGTGCATGGGCGCCGCCATAGCCGACCTTCAGTTTTTGTTTCCCCTTATTTTGATCACTTCTCTTCATCATCACCACAGCAGGACAGGTTATTGCCATTTTAGATTCGACTGCATCCTTCTCCTCAGCATTTGCCTTTGTGAAGGCTCGCCAAAGCCCGCTTGAGTGGCTTGGTATCTCGATAAGAGAGAAGGTCGGCAATGGGGGGGGGGGGGGGGGGGGGGGGGGGGGCGGCTGTAATCTGACGCGTGTGTAAAGCGACTATAAACTGTGAATAGTTGCATCCCTTCAAAGTGTCATATTCAGGCAGTTTGCCAGCATGTTTTAAAGGGACACTGACATCCCCCCAATTCTTTTTCTTATTTTTTGCCAGGCGATTTATTATGGTGTCGGAATACTACCCAATTCATATTTTGCTACAGAGTAACATAGCCAAAAAACGCAACTGCTCGAAACTGAAACCGAAACCCACGCACCGCACGGAGATATGGAGAGGAGAGAGTGAGTGGCGGAAGTCACGTGACTACACCCGACCGTGCAGTATTTTTTTTTTTTTCCAGGTGCAGCAGACGAAATGCATTCGGGATCTGTTCGTCGTGCGATTCCTTTGCAGTTATGCTTGTTCGGCTCGCTGTTCTGTTGTTCAAGATGAGTTGTTTTGTACATTTAAGTGTTGGCACGTAGTCGTGAGTGCCCGTGGTGAATTCCCGTAATTGGCTCGAAAAAGAATACACCCAAACTGTTGCGTGAAAAACTGCCTCACATGTCCTGCATCTGAAAGTGGCATTTTGTGGCAGAGGTGTCAAAGATGGAATCCCATATCATTTAGTTCAGTGACAGAACCCAGAACAATTGTTTTTTTCAGTGATAATTGTAAAAAAAAAAAAAAAAAGAAATGTAAACATTGCAAAATGTTTGAGAAAAAAAAAAAAAGGTACGCCCACACTCGGGATTGAACCCGTGCCCGCTGCGTGTAAAGCGGACGTCTTTCCACTGAGCTACTGAAGGAACTCTTTCGTTCGTAGTAATGCAGCTGGTCGACTATATCGGAAAGTTTTCTGCCGATTTCCCAGTACATGCACTCCCGGCTTGAAGTCGGGCAGCACCATGCATTGGCCACATTTGCACCTAGTAAAGAAACTGTAAGCGTATGTATTCAACTTTAAGTACGCACTTCGTGCTTGATGTTTGAGTGAGCGATGTCTTCAGCCACGAGAAGGGACGACAGCTCGGTGACGTCTTCGCGCAATCGGCTTGCTGGTCGGGCGTGTCGTACAGGATGAATATCAATTCTTTTGATCGGTCCAAAATTTCTCTTTCGAAGGAAGGCAGAATTCGCCGGTACTGTGAACGACAGTTGTGAAGTAGAGGTCCCACGCCTGTCGTCGGCTGCCACCTGCGAGTCCCACGAAACGCGAAACGACGCCATGTTGAGAATTATGCAGCGAACCTACAGAATGCTTCCGGTTGTCTGTGCAACCTTTTTTTTTTTTTCAGTCAGTGTACAGTATTTGCTGTTTTTTGGAAGCCACAAAAAATGGGTTTCATATTTTTTTCTATTTTTAGTATTGACTGTGCGCCTTCAATGACCCACGACTTTGATTAAATTTGGTGGTTTTGTCTAAACCTTAGAAAACGGCCCGTGACCACAGAAAAGAGAGTGAGCATTACTCAAACTGACCAGTTCTCGATCGGTGGTTTTCGAGCGGAAAGAAACTGCATTTCGAGCCGCAAATTCTGTTCTCGGTAGTTGGGCTCTCATTTGTCACGTACAACTAAAAACTTCGGCGAGCATAAATACCCGTCAGTGTCCCTTTAAAATCTTCATGTTACTTTTTTTTTTTTTTTACTTTTTTTTTATTGTTACAACACAAAGTTTTGCCTCCAGTCGGTATCTTTTGATCTAAAATTTGAATCCGAGTGTTTTTTCCGGGGTCAGCGTCCGGCATTTGGCTTTCACATTCAAACGAGCTCGATGAGTGAATTGGAAACATAGGCAGCCTTAGGTCTGCCCATTAATCGTTCCAATCAGAGCTCGGTTTTCTATTGTCGCCGCGCGCTCCTGTCTCTTCCTCTCCTTCACTTCCTCAATGCGTACCTCATAAATCAGAGGGTGCAATGAGGCTAATATTTCTGGAAAATGTTATCTACAAAATTGTTGAATTGGCAAAAAGTTTACCGTATTTACTCGCATAATGAACACACTTTTTTTTCCAAAAAATTGACACATATCTGGGGGGGGGGGGGGGGTCGTTCATTATGCGGGGTAAAATTTTTGCATTTACACATTTTGCGCAAATGTCATTTTAGATGCCAATATGAAATGGCAGGGTACTATGGCACGTCTCCACTGACGGAGGCTCGCCCATGGCTGGTCGTGGGCATGCCATACTAATCATGCTCTATAAATTGCGAACTTTTTTTTGGGCACTGTTGGCATTTTTTTTGCCGAAGAAAAAGTGCCCTACAAAGCTTACTCAACACGGAGAGCGACGCGGCCGTTCTTAGGCCTAACCACTTTCAACCACTGTCCGAAAGCAAATCACAGACGGTGGCGTGTTTGTTGACATCAATGCATCCGATGGACGAAGCACGCCCGGGGCTGGGCGATTCCTCAACCCCAGCTTCGATAGGCAAATGCGCCGCTCGGTTTCACGGTTGATCACTTCCGCAACCACGCAATTGCAGCCATTACGAGAGCGGCTTGGCTTGGCTTGACTTGGCTTGGCCACTTGGTGGCAAAAGAAAATTGGCGGGCTTGGTGGCTAGCCGGCTAATTTGGACGCAGTTCAAGACTCGTGGAGTCTAAAATTAAAAGTGTGTTCATTATGCAAGAAGAAAAAAAATATAAAGTCCAAATATTGATGGTTGTTGTGGGGGGCACATTCATTATGCGAGTAAATATGATAACAACTAATTTCTAATTATCAGCCGAAAATCTTGAACTTCTGATAACTTTTTGTAGAGTGATGCTAGGGTTATAAGAATGGTTTTGTCACTCTCTCTATTGTTTTTAGAACACGCAGACATACTTTGCCATATTAGCTGGCCAGAAACGTGTATATGTGATAAAGACTAGGTTTGCTTGAAAACTATAATAGATAGAAAAACATACAGCTTATGTTTGTGCCCAACACAGAAACTTGTAGTAGATGTGAAAATTTGATAGGAATTAGATTGGTAACGACAGAAAAATGTTAATAACCAGGGTCTCCTATCGGATACAACGTTGCATCCTCATTCGCCATGACAGCTCTTTGCGAGCCGCGGTAATTGCTGTGGCCCCTGCACCACATGCCTGCACTCTCTCTTCTCACCTCGTTGGTTTTCCCAGTTAGCACATCCCCAACGCCATTCTGGACGTCACTGAAAAAGGACAAGCATGTTTCGTTTCATACGTGTATCGAGTCTGTTCGGCCTTCCTCCAAAAGCAAGATCGCATTCCAACAGTTGAAGGGGGTCAGTTGCGTCGTCAATTCGGGACATTTGAACCAACATCCTGACGCAACTTCCTAATGCAGATTTGCGAGCCAATCAACAATACCACTGGTATACGAACGGTTCTTTGAAACTGTTTGGTATCACTGCGCGGGCTGGCAACACTTTAGCCAGCGTGGACGTCCTTCCCAAACTCACGTGTTTAATAGGAGACGACGCTCGACTAGCAGACGACGGCAGGCTCCTCTATCCCGCGTCCAACGCAGTGAGTGATGCAGTCACTGTTGTGTGCATCACTCACTAGGAATGATGTCACGTGACTCACTTTGCCAAGTCGTCGTGAAACCTAGTTTAGTTTTTGGGAGTTTGAGCAAGTAGATCTTTTTTCTGTCTGTGTAGAGCACTGTATCTTAGTGCCCCTTCGGGGGTTGGAATTATGTGTTGGCGAGATCAATCCATAGGGGATGTTTTAAAGAGCTTGGGTGCTACTCAGCTTTGTGTTCACCCAACATAGCAACATAAGGGATTCTTTGTGTCATCTTTATGAATTGAGGTCATGGCACATGTCAGACGCAAGCGCTGCGTCGGCGTTTTTCCGGGACTCCCGTTCTATCTCTGCTTTACCGACCGAAAACCGTGGAGAACTTTTTGTTCTCCCTCCGCGTGTCTGGTGCCAGGGCCCACATTCTCCACCAGTGTGAACACTTACCGCATCCACAGACGTGCGCCGCACTCGAGCAAAGTGTGCTGGCCCGGGCACCGGATGCGGGGTCCAAAAGGTCCGGCAGGGAACGTCTGCCTTGGCGCCGGAGACGTTGGAAGAGTCGGTAAGCGTTCGCACTGGCGGAGAATGGGAGCATTGGACATGTGGAGGGAGCATGAAAGGTTTTACGACACGAGTCCCGGCCGGGCGCTGTCGAAAACGTTTGTCGCCAGCACGGCCCGAGTGAACCGCTCACGGCGAGACTGCTCAGACTCCCGTCCAATGCTGTTTGGTTGCTAATGTCCCAACGGCTGTCTGCAGGTAGCCAATATGCTTCCCGGACGCCACACCGTGCAGTGCAAGGAACGCTACACGGTGCGTTACGGACAGCACCAGGTGTTCGGCCAGTTCACCCCGGAGGAAGACCGCCTTTTGCTCGAAGCACTCCAGAAGCACGGCAAGAACAATTGGACCAAGGTGAGAATTTGACGGACGGATTCCCGTCCGCTTTCCTTTGTCCCGGTGAGTCAGCAGAAGGCAGAGTCGTAGGAGGGCTACACTCGGAGAGTCGGTACTCCTTCGCTCCGTCGTCCGACGCAGCCAAGACGTTCGTTTTGTTCATTGGCATCGCGTGGCTTTTTGTTTACGTGCCAACAGTTTCTGGGCACCACTATCTTGGTGCCTAAAGCTGCGTGGGTGCTGTTTGCGACAGTTTTGGTTCTGAAATCAGGCCGTTCGATTGGTAGTTACGGTGTTAGGAGTTTCTCTTGAAATTGTTTTGCCCTTTCAAAAACTGCATTAGTGAGCAGAACTCTTGTGTCTTCTGTCGGACAGGTCAGCAAAGGCTGGCGACGACTGGCAACACTAATTGGTGGGACTAACCTAGGGAAAAATGAATGCACAACTAACTAGCACAGTTGGGGACAGCCGGGACAGAGGAAAAGTGGACTCCCTCCCGCATGACATGGGCCACCCCACTTTTTTTATGAATTTCAGGCGGCAGGGGGGTGGGTGATGACTCGGGATATTACTGTAGGCTGCACTCAATACTCAAAAATCTAATATGGGTGCATGCACTCAGTGGAGCCGAGGCAGGCGGTGCATGTAAATCACACGAGCACATTTAGGCTCATTCTATTGTACAGTGCGTCTCAAATAGCGGCCAGGCACTTTAAATTGACCGCAAAAATCGGTTTCTTAACCTATCGCATTACGATTTTGTGCAGCGTTGCCCACAGGTGGTGCATTTTTTCTATAAAATTTGCAAGGAGCAAACTTACCCGAGAAAAAAAAATTAAAAAAAAGAAAAAGGCTTAACTCCTACGGAAACGCAGTGAAGCCACCGGTCTTCAAACAATAAGGCATCGTTGGCACGGGAGAAAAGAGATGGCGCAAGTGGTTGCGACGCCAACTGCCGCTAACGAACGAGCACACGGCGCTGAGAGCTGGCGCCGAATAGCAGACAATATTTTCTACTCAAAAGCGGCGCAAGCTTTTTCGATGTCAGTTGCAAATGCATGATTTTATCATCTTTACTAATAAAACAGATTGAATGGACACATAATCAATTTAAAAAAAAAACAACATTCAGCCTTTCCACTCTCGTGAAGAAGGAGCTGTACTCAATACACTGCCGCAACGCGCATGCGCCCATTTCCCGTTTCCTCTCGTCCGACACGCCGCCGATCGTGGATACGTATCCGGCGAACCAGAGTCCCATGAAGCGCACGCGACGCCAAACGGGTAATGCACAAACTCCCTCCCGATCCTCGCCATCGCGCCTGGGAACTGTTCAGCCGGCGTGGAGTGCAGTCGTCGCCGGGCCTCGCGCTTGCGCTTGGCCTCCGTGGCACGATCGTCGTCCGTGGCGTTGACCCGCCGGCGCCGTTTACATCGCTGGTTCTGTTCTTGGCGGAGGCTTTCCAAGCTAGCGATGTGCTCTTCTTTGGCAAGGGAATCTGAAGCGCTCGACACAGTGGAAGCCGAGGCGACAGCGGCTTTGCGGCGGTTGCGGCCCCATTCGCGCTGCTGCGTACGTCGCCACTCCCCAGTCTTTTTTCCCCAAAAGGGTGCGCAGCCGACACGTCTTAAGTCCTAATCGAAACTGATAAGAGCGTAGGAAACAGCGCGCAAAACAGACGAGGACGAAAAACACACGTGACGAGCGCTACGCTCGTTACGTGTGCTTCTTCTTTGTCGTCGTCTGTTTTTCGCACTGTTTCCTACAACGAATTTCCACCAACGCGCCCAACTATCCATTCTTCTATGATAGCTGGAAAGGTTGTCGCCATCTATGAGTGACAGCAGCAAGCAGACTGGTTGTGTGCTTGCCGCTGTCGCTTATAGATGGCGGTAGCTGTCCAGGTAGGTTTGTGTCGACATACCAGACATGATCCTGGGGAACCTAGCTTTTAACAGCTCCACTGTAAAAATGGTTTGTCAGGTTATATTGACTGTTTTTTTCGGGGTATGTGTCATCTGCTTTGCAGTTCCTTTTTACCACGCCTGTTTTTTGTCCTGCGACTGTTATCCACGCTGTCTTCAACGTTTAACGTCGGTAGGGTGCATTTAACTCGTGTTCGTGCCACGGTAAGCAGAAACGCAATGAAGCGTATGCTGCGATTGCCTCTTCTTGAGTTCTCGCTGCCTGTGGAACGTGCACTGCTTTTGAGTTAAAAAGATTGTCTGCTAATGACGCCGGCTCTTGTCACTGTATGCTCGTGGAATGGAAATGCGTGGATAAAAATGCAACAGTCTCGGCACCGCAGGTGGCACAGGAGATGCAGACGCGGTCCGCCAACTCGGTGATGCTGCGCCACAGGCGGCTGAGAAAAATCCTGGGCGTGGCAGACCCGCAGCCCGAGGACCTGGTCAAGCTGCCGCCCGCTGACCCCTCCAAACGGACCACAACCCGCCGCAAGACGAGCCTCGACCGCAGGAGGCAGCTCACTAACACCATCTGCCAGAGGTTGGCGTCGCAGCGCCACCGCACCACGGTGTCCTCGCTCGCCATGGTGAGAAACCAGTCCTTTTGCCATCAGCAGGGTACCCAGAATGGGTCTCCAACCGATCTGCTTACCGCGTCCCAAAAAGCGGTCCCTCGACTTCCACCCAACGCGTCGTTGCGCTCACTTCGTGCCGTCGTCTGCCACGATCCCCGGCAGTGGCGCAGCGGCGGTGGCTGCTGTGGACGCCCGTCTCGCAGGAGGTTGCCATCTGGCTTCCCGGTCTACGGAAACTTCGGCAATCAAGAGTGGAGACATGGCGACGACGATGACATTCGTGTTTACTCGCATCTTTTGCTCGAAGCTCCACTGGGTGATTTCAGATAAGATCGACCAAAGGGTAGCTGGTTGACATTTTTAAATCAACTGATGTTTTTATATGACATTGTCTAGTGTCTGGTATAAACGAATCCACACTTAGTTTTGACCAGAAAAAAAATTTGGAGACAAGAAAAATCGTAAGGTAGGGAGAGGTGGACAGTTGCAATAACGCGCACTGATGGAGGGGGCAAGTTTGAAAGTGAATAATTAAAACAATAAAATTAGGAGAATTTTAAAACTTTTTACAAACAAACTATGGGTACAACTTGCTTGTAATATAAAGTAGTAATATTTATTAAAAATTTATTTAGTTTTCTAAAAATTGCCAAACATGTCTGCTCGAACGACAAATGGCAAACTTTGGAAATCTGTATCTCATGAAATAATTTAATCATTATTACATAACTTGCAGACATTATTTTACTAATATATGGCTATTATTGAAAAAATAAATAAGATATCTGAGTGACACAATAGTTACAATAGATTTAGGCAAACATGGGAAAAAAATCAAACAAAGAAAAATTCCAATGCGAATAAAAAAAAAACACCACCTTCGATTTTTTTTAAAATTTGGGTACCCTGTTATACTCTATTTCTGCATTCATTTCTATTAAAAACATGTTGCATCATTGCACTGTGAAAGAAGAAACAACTCCCCAAAGTAGGGTCCTTTTTCAAAGCCTACACTTAGCAGTGTCCTATACAAGAAGTGACTCTGAGTTCCAGTTTCATGAAACTTGCACAAATCTTTTATATACATTTATTCAGATGAGGTCATTGATAAAAAGAGCGATCGGTCACACAGTAAAAGGGAGGAGAAACTATATACAGCATTTTACATAAGCGTACAAAGTGGTATCATATTAGAGACTAATGATTTGAGAAAAGATGATGCAGTGTGAAGTTGTACCTTCCGGTATATTTTACATCTAGAGTAAAATAAATAACTTTACTTCCACACACAAAAACAAAGATGTAATAGTAAGATATTTAGGTTGGCTGTGTATTTACGATTACAAACAATTTCAGGTGACGGATGCCATAGTGCCTAACTGGAGCAGCTTCGATGCTCTCGGTGTATGAATGAATCGTGGCAAGCCGATATATTTTATCCTGCTCGAGGATAACATTTTGGGATTTTTTTTATAGTAATCAGGTAAAAATTATTAGTAACCACCAACAAAAACAGTAGGTTAAATACCCCGTGAAGAAAAATGTGATAAATAAGATGTCCCTGCATTCAAAATGAGCAGTCCTTGGGAAATCAAATTCGGCACTTTACACTAAGATTTTCCTCGCTGTACCCATTTAATAAAGTTGCTTCCAAGCAGATCCGACTGTCCGTGCTACATATACGTCACAGGTCCCTTCTGTTGATGACTTGCTGAGCCGCCACGCGTGCCAAGACTGAATGCCAGGGAAGGCGCGCACCGTCAGCCACTCTTCTTTTTTTTGTTCACGATACCGAACAACCTCATTTTCGTCCAGATATACAAGATGCACGCCTTTCAGTTTCTTTGATAGAACGCTCACCATTGTCCTGGCCGTCTGAATTGCGCTTACTGAACGTTCTCTCAGGTTGTTCAGCATGGCCTGGTGCTTCACGAGTCCGCCAACTCCGTCACATGCATTTTTCCCATGTCCAGATGCAGAAAATAACCACTGGGCTTGTGGGCAATCGTCCTTTGCAAATTGGTGAAGCTGGTAGCGATTCTTGAAATGACTGGCGGCGCCGTCACTTACGTACGTCACGTACGAGTATACCGCAACGTTGTCTTCAACCCACTCCTTCACTTTTTCTAGAGCCAAGCAAGCGTGAGCGGCGTCGTGACACAGGTCCTCACTGATGATGGCAAAGCTGTTTGTAGATTTTCTTGTCGTCACTACACATGTAAATATCGAAACTTGTTTTTTTTTCCAGTGATATGCTTGCACTTCGTCAGGAAGCACGATGGTCCAGTTTTCAGCAAAGTCAAAATGAAAGACAATGCTCCCGCGTTGCATGCACTGTTTTTCATCGTAGATCGCTTTACCTTGCGTTTGCCGGATATGGTTGTGAAGTACCCAACTTCCAACCGTCACTTGGATGACTTTTAGGAAAGTCTCAGGTTCCAAAGTTTTTTTCACAAGGTCGCCGGACTCCCATGTTGCAAGCACAATCTCTTCATCCTCCGGGATATCAAGTTCCTGGAGTGTGAGAAACTGGCCTTTTGGGCAGTGATCACAGTCTCCTTGAAGGCACAGTTCTGTTGCTGGGTCGCACAGAAATGCCGAGTTCATTTCACCAGTGTTGAATGTTGAGCCTGTAACGTTCTCTAGAGCGGCAATACAAAGATAATAATTGGCGCAGCGCACACAAACGCACACTTCCTGGTGTGGAATACATTGGACCCATCTAGGGCGCAACGAATAAAATTTCGTTAGCCCAACGCCGGAATCGGGATGCTTGTCTTTGTATATACGGAAGGCCTCTCGTATTGAGCGTGTCATGAAGCGCTTTGGCACGAACGTTTTCTCTCCGTTGAGCATGACAGAGATGACGTCCTTCTGGTTGGGACTTTGGCGCGAACATTGTAGCTCGTCTTTCGTGAAGTACTCTAGGGCAGCAGACAGGTTCTCAGGGCTCACCTTGCACCTCGTGTAAGGATCCGGCTCATACCACACGCCGTGCTTTTCCTTGAGTTTTCGGGATTTACTGATGAGGTACATTGAGGCCTGTGGAATCATCTTTTGAACCTCATTCTTCGTCAGTGTTGACGGCAGGAGTGTAAGCAGTTGACAACGTTCCCGGAGAGAGGTGGCGGTTTCAAAGGCCTGCCGAAAGTTGTCCACCCACTCAGTGCATGTGGAGCATGTTGGTTCGGACGACCCCGATGGTGCGTCCCTGTCGTACGCAATACGTAGCCTTGATCGTATATTCTTGACAGCAACCTGCTCCAGTTCTGTCTGCTTTCTCTTGACATAGGCAGGCCTGTCCCGACTTCTTACGACGCTTGGTTGTCTCAGCGGCGACACATCTGTAGGTAGTATGCTGCGATTTAGATCTTCAATTGCTTCTTCAGCTGGCACAAATATGTCAGGGCACTGCTCTGAGCTTCGCATTGAGATCTCCTTAGTGATGTGCATGAAGCAATGGTAGCACAGGTAGTCCGTCGCACTCACTTTGGTGGAACAGTCAGGCGGAAGAATTTGCTTCAACGAGTTTAGGTCCAACTCGCCAACACTTCGAAAATTCCGCTGCTTTGGTATAGTCTTTTTGTGTTTGCAAAAGTAATCTGCACAAAACACTCGTTCGGAGCTCCAGGACGTCTTCATAATGTATACATAAATAATAGAAATTAAACCCCAACTGATGGCATATAATTGCCAAGTGAAAGAACTACTGGGTGCACAAGTGACAAGTCCGAGGCTGAGGAGCTCACTCACTGCAAACGTACATTTGAAAAGAGAGGTCACAACTGAGGCTGTCGGGAAAGCTTGATCCACGTCAAAGGAAGAAAGAGGGAAAGTCTCCAGACAAAAAAGCGAAAGCCGTTTACAACTCCCTGTAACACCGAATTGGAGCGCAGCTCTTGAGGAGGAGGAGGGAAGGGTACTGACGGTTACCTGTTCTCGGGGCGGGGGGGGGGGGGGGGGGGGTCATGTGACCTTGGGGGGTCACGTGACCATAAAAATGTTTCCGCTATTTAAGCGGGGTCTTTTTTCCGCTAGATTTAGCGGGAAAATTTTTCCGCTAGATTTAGCGGGGATATTTTTTCGCTAGATTGAGCGGGGAAATTTTTCCGCTAGATTTAGCGGGGAAAATTTTTACGCTAGATTTAGCGGAGAAATTTACCCATAATGCACCGCGCGGTTACGCCGACGGTGACGGAGACGCCGACGCCGCTCAAGCCGGAAACGGGCCCGTAAGAGCTGCGCTCTAAAAATTGTGGTCAGCGGCCTTCGAAAAAGACTTTCCGGAATCGCACTGTCGTCCCTCCACGCGCTGATATGAAAGCACCCGAGCTTCTACCACGTGGTTCATGACACAGCCTGAGCCATGTCGGCGACCGGTTCGCGAGGGGTTGGCGGTGGGGTTACATTGATGGTCACTCGGATTAGCCCTTGCTGTACTGAGCTACCGCCTGCAGTGCCTTATCGCCGGCTGGTGTCAACAACGAGAACACACACACCCTGTCTACACCAAAACTACAAGCGTTCACCGCACACGCGTCGCCGCCGCTTTTAAGCTTTTGTGAAATTGCTTTCTTTTGCCGCGCGCCTGAAATCCTTCCAGGCGGGCGTACACAATATCAAGCGTTTCGAGAAATGCCCATGGAGTAGAACTATGGGAAAATTCGGAGCCCGCGATGTCGATATCGTCGCCGTTGTGTTAGTACGTCGTCGCGTACTGCAGTCCCCCGTTGGGGGAGGGGGGGGGGGGCGGTCTTACTACAATAACATGGCGACAGCGTTTACACTCTATGTATTTACGCGAGGCTCGAGTATTTGGGGATAAAGCTGCCGGTTGGTGTGCCCCTTTGTGCCTGATATTATCGCCCGTGACGCCAGCGAGTGAGATGGCAACAGGCATGACTGCTCAGTAAACAGGCGTCGGCGGCCATGTTTTGCTGGTTGAAGCGAACCCCCTTGTCCTTGACAGCGAGCGGGGAAATGCGAAAAAAAGATTGTATCGGCCGTTTTGC